CACATTTTCGAACTAAAAGTTTTTCTCCTCTTTTATTTTTGTTTTTTTTTTCGTTAGAAAAAAAGTTCTAATAACATTGACATCGGTTGGAATGATAACTTTTTGGCAGATTTAGTATCATACGAATCGCTGATTATCGTTGATTGTTTCCAACGATCAACGATAATCATTTCCTACTTCCGAAAAGTTTTTTCTTTTCCTTGAAAAAAAAAGTTTCTCTTTTTATCTGAAATTCGAGATGAATAATTGTTAAACAATCATGATGATGATACAATTAAATTAGATTGAACAATTTAGATCTAATTTTTAACACGATTTATTTTCAAGTTTTACTCGGAAAAAAATTTTCACCAACAATTGAAACTTTTTCCTAAACTTTTTGTTTGTTTATTTGTTTGTTATCATTATATTATTATTACAACTAATCTGATCTTATGAAAACTTAATTGCTGGTTAATTGTATTATCCAATAATTTTCACAACAACAATTCAATCAACCTAATGATTGGCATTATCTTAATTTATATAATAATGTAACAATTAATAACATCACAGGTAAACATACAAACATCAATCATTAGCCATTATAATTAAAAAGTTTCTGATATGAAAAAGTAATTTAAAGTTTCATATTCACCAAGCAATTTAAATTGTTAATTATATTAGATGATTAAGTTAATACTTTTGTGTATATAACGTTTTGTATTATATTGGATTGTATCAAATGGATTAACTAAATTTAATAATAATACAATCAAACTTTTTAAATCATTATCACAATTTTCAATCATTAACATTATATTATATTTATACTTGTGAGATTAACTGATAATATCATGTTACAACAATTAAGAATTAAATTTGAAATAATCAAAGTTTTCCCACCAAGAGTTTTAAATTGTTATTGAAGATCAGCTTAAATTTAATCCAAACCATTAGTTGATTATTAATAAATAATATAACAATTAGTACGGATTATTATTAGCTCTTGAGTCTAATGATTATGATGATGATGATTTTAATCACAATTTAAAATCTAAATTGTCACCTTAATCCAGTTTGTGAGAGTTGGAGAAAATTTTCTCACAAAATCAACATAACATATTATTCAATTATAAACATGATGTTTGTTTGTTGAAACAATTAGTTAATTGTGATGGAGATGATGATGATTATGATGATGATGATTTGTTGATTCTGTTTATTTGTATTCGTGTTCATCACTTGATTGTTGTTGATTGTTGCTTCAATATTCAAGCTTCATTGGATTCTGGTTCCAGTTTAATGAACAGATAATCACTTTTACCTTATTTAATTTTAATCATCTTCCTGATCATCATCATGATTAAGATGAGAATCACCTTAATCTATTAATATTTGTCTTTAAATGATTAACTCTTTAAATTGTCACAGAGATTCAATTGTAAATGATTAACTCACGATCCTTGAGACTAATGAAATAAGTTTGTTGCTCGAGCAATTTATTAATTGTTATAAATCCGTTGGATTTTAATTTAGATAAATGAATGAAGATTAATATAGAGACTTAAAGAAAATCTCCATAATTAACTAATTGTCTTTAGATTCCGATTGTGATTCTATTTCGCAACGACAATTAACTCCAATTTTTTTTCATTCGATTTGTAAAACAAATTTGATTGAGTTTTTTATTTGCTTTTTCATCATTTGATTAAATTGCTAACTGATTAATGAGGATTCTAATTGTTGTTACAATTAACAGGATTGTTCAAATATAGAATTGAAACTGTTAATTGTTACCAAGATGAAGGTAAAAAAACCGACCAATTAACGATAACAATCAAATCAATGATTAGTTTCTGTTTGGTTTCACTTTTTTTTTCTTGTCTTGATTGTTGATTGTGACTCACCTAAATTGTTACAACTAATTACCATTGATTACTATTTGGTGGTACATAATTTAACTAATATTCACCATTAGTCAACACAACCTTAATCATTTGGTTTGATTAGATTTAAATTGTTTGACTTATCGTTTATTGAGATATCATTATAATCGTTACATGTTAACATATCATCAAATGTATCAAACAATCAGTTGATTGTTAAGCTTTTTAATCATCTATGTATATGATGATGATGATGATGATTATCATTATTGTGATTAACTACAAGATTTATAACTACCATTTGATTGTGACCTCAAATTGTAATTTGATTGTTAATTGGTTATTAATCATATTTAGTAAGAAAATGTTGTCACAATTAACCTTTCATTTATCCTGAAAATGTCAGTCCAATGAAAAATTGATGAAAAAAGTTTTAAATTGTTACCAATTAATCAGTTGATTAACTGGAAGGATTAAAGTTTCCATTGTGATATTAATCATCAATAATAGTAAACAAATATCAGCTGATTGTTATAAGAAAACAATTAATAGATGAGATTTTGACCTCGCCCGTGAAAATGAATTAAATTTAATTGTGATCAACTTTTTATACATTCATTATTAATCGTGGTTACCTTGAGTAAACAAGGGTGATTAATTTAATTTGATTGTCAACTTTAATCAATGAGTAAATTGTGTAACAATTGTTTCGTTATATGTTGTTAATCAAATGGTAAATTAAATTAAATTGTTAAAGTGAAAATTAAATTAAAAGGTGTTTCCAATTATCGTTGATTATGATTAAAGTTTTCATTCATTATTCCCACTCAAATAATTTCATTTAGTTGTAAATGGTTTTTGGGGTTTATTAAATTAAATTGTTAATCAAAGAGAGGATTTTTTTGATTGATTTGATTCAGTTAATTTAGTTAATTGTGTGAGTGTGTATGTGTTTATTTCTTAACCATTGACCATTTTGTTTTCTCACATTAATAATCAATAATTGATTCTAAATTGTTAACAATCAATTGATTGTTAGAGGTGAGAGAAAGTGAGTAAAACAAATGATTTACTGATTGTTAACCTTTAAATTGTTACAATTAAAGATGAGATTTGACCTTTTGCCTAACAATTAATTAATCAAGATTAGGAGAGAGTAAATTTAAGTAAGACAATTAAATCAGAGAAGTGATTTGAACAATTTAAATTAAATTGTTCAAATCGGAATCTCTTCCTATTTAGTATCTGGTTTTTTATATAATTTAATTTAGTTGCAACATCAGCAATTAATCAAAAGTCTTCCTGTTACAATTAACAAGTAAATTACCATTGACAATTTGAATAGCAATTAAATATTATCATGATGATGATTATTAGGAGATGAGTTAATTGTTAGTTACTTTCAGTCATTAACCTTAATTTGAAATTGATGGTTGGCAATTTGTGTATTTGTGGTGATATATCAATGGACAATTTAATTAACTGTTAACAATTAATTCTGTTAATCACTATTTTAAATCACTCATGGTGGTACAGGTAGTAAAGGTTAATTGTAATTGTAACTTTTGATTTACTTGATTATAACATTTAATTTATGTAAAGCATGGGAATTGTTAGTTGATTGTTTGTTTGTCCAAACAATCAACTGTTTATGTTGATTAACTTGGTGATTAAAGATTTGCCTGTTTATTATTAATGTAATAACAATTGTAATTGTTAAATTGTTGTTGATTGTCAATGATGATGTTGTGCAAATGATTTGGTTCCTGACGGGAATTGACCTGAAAATTAAAAACGCTAATCATAATCATCTTCATTTACTATTAAATTGCTCAATAGTGATTAGTTAATTTAATCTAATAACAATTTGAATAATAATTTTCTCCTTTTTCTCTTAATAACAATTAAATCAAATCATATAATTCAATTGTCATTTTTTGTCTATGTAATTACATTTTGATTGGTCAATTAAGTGTAACAATTAACAATTATCATGTTGATTGTTGGTCCAAGACCTTGCAATTGATTAAAGGTTAAACTTTAATCTGATAGTTTAAATCAATCAATTGAAATTGATTTGACTAAATTGTTTTCTGATCATTTTCATTCATAATAATACAATTTAAAGTTAATTGTTGATCAACTATTATATTATAATAATGATAATGATGATGATACATTTAAACTTGATTGTCATTTGTTAATTGTCTTGATTTCAGTTAATTTAGTTATCCCCCTTTTTATTATAACCTCAATTGTAAACCTCTAAATTAACCATAAATAGTTACCTTAATTGTTACAATTTATAAATTGTGTATAAATATCAACCCAAGGTCACAATTTATTTATATCCCATCATGGTAATTATGATTAAATCATTTGATATCATCAACAATTAGCAAAAATATATTAATATATCAACGATAATGATGATTATATAATTGTAATTGACTTTGAATGATTTAAATCATTTTATTTTTCAGATTGTTAATTAGTAACAATTTAAAATGAAAATTTTAATTTCCATTAACCTTTCAAATGGGAAAACATTATAACTGTCAACTTTTAATTAGCTTATAATCATGTAATCATAATTCAACAATTAGTTTGAGAATCTTAATCAAGTTTGTTAATCAAATGAAAACAAATCAAACTGATTGGTAACAATTAGTAAAATTTGATGAGAAACCAAATTGTTACCATTTAAAGGTCAATGTTGATGCAGTAATTAAGTTGATTGTTGAGTTACTATTAATACAATTATTTGATTTGTAAATTGTGTTGACAAAATAACAAATCTTTATAAATAAAACACACTAATTAAGATGATAATTCAACAATTAACTTTATCCATCAATCTTGATGTCACTTTCCCATCATAACCATTGGTCATTTACCCTTTAAACTGGACAACAGATATTGAAAAGCTCATCAACAATCAAATCATGTTTGTTAATTGTGATTAAATTAAACCCAATAACCTTTTCCACAATAAGTGTAAACAATTTAAATCATTTCAAATAATAGTTTGATTGAGAAAAACTTTCCATTAACATTGACGGTTATCATGATTGTTATTACTTGTTACTCGTTTCTAATTGTTATTATTATTGTTAATTGTTCTTAATTTAGATTCTATTTATATTGATTACCTGTTATCAATTAACTGAAGGAAAACCTTATGTTAATACAAGGAGATTATCGTTTGGTGAGCAAATGACTTGGAGATTTGGAGGTTGGAAGCCAATGACTCCTTCGGCTTCGGGATTAAGATCAGAGGATAATCTTTCAGGTCTTGGAAGTTTATTAATCCCTCCAGGCAATAATAATAGTAGCACTTTAAATCATCAACAAAATGTTAATAGTAATAATAATTTTCTAAATTCTAATATTAATTTACCAACAAATAGTAATAACTTTTATAATAATAATCAAACAAGTGCCAATGGAGTTGTTATTACATCGGCGGGTTCACGAAATGTATCTTTAAGCTCAAATGGTAATCATTTATTAAGAGTTAATCCAGCTAATGGATTAACTTCATCTTCTTCTTCAACGCCATCTTCATCATCTACTCCATCATCATCATCATCTTCTTCATCATCTTCTTCTTCACCTTTAACTCTTTTACCTGTTTCAACTTCGGGCTCTGGTTCATTGAGTTCACCAGAATCTTCAGAATCTCATCTGAATCCAAAATATCGTCATGTTGATATGGAACAGATGAAAATCGATGATTATCTTGGTGGAGTTGGTAAAGGTTTCCCTGGGTCACCAGGTCCATATTCAACCGGCGCTGTCCACGGTTTTTATGGTCCATCTATGGGCCATAATTTTGGTAAATCGACTTATGGTTTCCCTGGTTCCATGAAAGGAGGTCACTCATCTCGTCCATCTTTCCATCCTCATCCTGGACATTTGTCTTACCTTGGCCGTGGTCTTCCACTTCCTGGCTCTCATCTTGGGCCCCGTCCTAATCGCCATGAGGTCACCGGTGGTAAACCCGTTAAAGATGCTGAACTTCACGCTTATCGGGTAATCAAACAGTTAAAAGAGCGCGGTAGAGATATAAGGAAAGACTTTGGTATTGTTGATGCTTTTCCCGTTAATCGTGGACTCTACCCGAAAGTGACCACTGGTGAAGGTGGTAAACGTTATGTTACCGTTCCGGTCGCTATTGAAACCGATCATGATAAAGTGTTAACCCAAAATGATATTAAAGATATTGAGAAAGAGGTTTTAAAAATTATTCCCGAGGTCGAACATGGTTTAGTTGAAGGTGCGGTCAAAGATGGTGCTCGAGTTATTGAACTACCCGGCGGTGAAAAGGGTGGCCGATCGATTGGTCGTCCTCCAATAAAGGTCACTTCTCCTTCATCTGCAGGAGGTGGACGTCACATTCCAGGTCATTCGGGTGTAATAACTGGACCTTCTCCAATCATCTATGACAATTTAGCTGCCAATCCGATTAAATCACGAATCTCATCAATCTTCCGGCCACTTTTATCGAAATTCCGATCACCAATTGGTCGTCCACAATTAAATCCTCAACCTTACAGTTCCAGTGATCCTAAAAATTTAAACGTAATCCATTTAATTGCTCACCAAGATCGACATCCATCCGTTGTACCCATTGACAGGTTAGTTCAACGTCCTGATGTTTCAGGTAATGGTCAAACTGTCGGTGGTCAAGTTAACACTAATCAACAACAATCTCGATTCCCTGGAATGGTTCATGGTCAACAGCCAATGACCAATTTACAATATAAGATAATTCATCCTCCACAAGGACAAGGTCAACCTGGTAAACAACATTTCATTGAATACAATCCCCATCAAGGATCACCACCATCACCACCCTCAGGTCCAGTTATTGGTCATCATCATCAACAATCAGGACCTCAATCACCACCTTACGAAATGATTGAAGTTCCTCGAGGTTATGATGTTTCACCCGATCATCTACTCGAAAGTCCACCTCAAGTTGTACCAATTAACGGTGAACAATTGGTCGATCTTAAGGCAAACCAATACAATTCCGGTGATGAAAATCAACCAAATCAACACCAACACCAACACCAACACCAACAACATCAACATCAGCAACACCATCAAGGTCAACCCCAACCATCAACATCTTATGTTACTGACCAAGGTCCAACTCCTGGTTCAATTGAGATAGTTAACCGACCAACTGAAGGAAATGGCTACTCTGATCAACAACCACCTTCATCCGTTTATCCAACAACCGGATCACCAAACTACGAATCAACTAATTACGATGACGAAAATGATAAACAACCAGAAAACAATGGTTATGGTCAAGGAAACATTGATAATCATAATGGTGGTCAACAGGGTTACGATGGTAATCAACAGCAAAATTCACAACATGAAGGTAATTATGGTTCCAATCATGGTGACCATTCAGTGACCGATTATCCAAATCCAGTTGGTCCAGAATACAATTTGAATGCTCATTCAGGTCAAATTGAACGGCCAAGTAAAGATTATCAATCGGAAGGTAACAATGATGATCGAGATGAAACAAATAACGGTAACAACGATGAGGGAGATAACCATGGGTCAACTTTGACACCTTCAGTTAATTATGCCGAATCACCCAAGATTGAACTTCTCAATGGAGCCTCACCCGATTTCAATGGAAAACCTTACACCACACCAAGTGAATTAGACACTAAAATGTTGATCAATTTAATCTCTAATCAAATACCCTCTCTTGGCAATGTCCTCAAAGGTGAAGGTGAACCAAATGGTAAAGGTCACGAAGAAGGTGACAGATCTCGAGGTGTTGATGGCCCAAATTATGGTGATAATAATAATCAAGGTGACGATGGTTATAATAATCATAACAATAATCGAGGAAATCAACAAGACATTTCCTCACCACCTCCAATCTATGGTGGCGGTGATTCAGTAAACACCAACGACGAAAGCGGCAATGATAATAGTAAAGGAGATTCACCTCAGAATTATGGTAACGCCGATGGAAACAATTATCCCGCGAGAGAAAATACCTTCACCGAATCAGCAGTTAACCAAGACGATAGTCCAAGATTCGGTGATCGGATTAGAGGTCAAGAAGTGATCTACGCTAAGGCTGAACATTACGACGATCAACACTATCAATCTAATTCTCATTCTTCATCTGGCCTTTACTCGGAAAGTAGTAACAGTCGCGAAGTTAGAGTCAAGAGCGACAATTCAACTAAAAAAGATTCGACGGTCAATTCTGATGACGGGTAAGACATTTGATTTTTTGTTCGAAAATTCCAAGAAAAAAAATAAATAACATCGATAAACAATCAATCGATTAATATTATTTTCACTTTTCTCTTCTATTCTTTTCCTAGTGAAAGTTTCGTTTTCGTTAAATTAGATGAAAAAGATAAACCAATCAATGGAAAAGTTATTTTCGGACATCGATCAAACTCCAATGGTACAACTTCCGATGACCACGAGAAAAGTGACTCATCTAAATCGTATCATGCTTACTACGAATCAGCTGATCACATTCCCCCCTCAGGATATGTACGATTAACAATTAAAGAGTTCAAGGAATTATTTAAAGACGCAGATATTAATTATTCAAAAGATCAATCAAATGAACAATTGGTTTCATCATCTTCTGAACTGAATCAACAATTAACCTCATCATCTAAATCCTCTGATGATCATCAACCAACAGCAATTGATTCAGAAATTGGTGATGAAGTTACAACAATTAAATCGCCATCTGATCAACAATCAGATCAACATTTATCTACATCCACAATTAAACCAATCAGTAGTTTGCCATGAAAATCTGAATAAAATTAATTGTCACTCAAAAACAATTAAACGCCAACAAAATCATATTAATTGATTAATTCATCCTCGTCATCATCTTTAATTATTATCTTCATCTTCATTCAAATCTTCATCTTCAATTGTTTCATTATTATTAACTTTTTGTTTTCATTAATAAGAAAAAAAAAATTTTACATTTTTCCATCACAATTTAGTTTAATCAACAATCAAATTAAATCAAATTAACTCTATTGAACAAAAATTCAATCCCAAGCCATACAAGAAAATTTAATTACATCAACAATCAAAGTAAAACAATTAACTCTATTATTATTTATATAAATATGAATGTTGAATGTTTATACCATTTAAAATACATCTGATTGTCAATTGTAACAATTAACTAATTGTGTTAAACGATTTTTTCTTCACCTTAATTGATCATAAATTTTTTCTTGTAAATCATTTAACCTTTTCAACTGATTAAGGTAAACACATTTCGATATCAATGCTGATTAGATATTGAAACAACTTTTCCACGTAAATTAAATTTGATTGTTAACTAAACGAAAAATTAAAAAAAATCCAAATTAAATTTTTCCTTCTTCGATTCAATTTAATTGAGAAAATAAACTTTTTCAACTTTTCTTTGTTAAATTTTTAATAGAATTTTCTATTCGTAATTAGTAATCGTTCCCTCGCTGGTTTTTTTCTCGGTTTCCGGTTTTTAGGTTACCCTATAAATGGTTTTTTCTTTGTTTTGATTTAATTTTTTATTCGATATTTTGAAATAATGTCTAGTTCTTCATCTTCTAGTGAAAGTTCATCGTCAAGTGGTTCCAGTGGATCAAGTTCATCTGGTTCTCGATCTCGTTCACGATCTCGTTCAAGGTCATCTCGATCTCGATCTCGATCACGATCTCGGTCACGATCTAGATCTGCATCATCTTCTCGTTCATCTTCACATTCATCTTCACGCTCATCCTCACGTTCATCTGCCTCTGGAGATGGAGATAAGCGTAAATCTTCATCAGCAAGACATCGGAAAAGTCCAATTCCTCGAGCTTCTAAGATTCATGTTGGCAGATTAACTAAAAATGTAACCAAAGATCATGTTTCAGAAATTTTCAGTATTTATGGACCAATTAGAAGTGTTGACATGCCACCTGATCGTATACATCCTCATCTTTCCCGTGGCTTTGCATATGTTGACTTTGAGAAACCGGAACATGCTGATAAATCAATCAAATACATGGACGGTGGTCAAGTAGACGGACAAGAAATAACAGTCAGTCTTGTCTTCTCACAGAAACCACGTGGAAACTACGGCGGACCTCCAATGAGACGAGGAGGTGGCGGTGGATGGGGACGTCGATCTATGCCTCGTCGTAATCGAAGGTATTCACGATCACCTCCAAGGTACCGTCGAAATCGATCAAGGTCAAGGACACCACCGTAATTCATTCATTTCATTCCTTACAAATACTCTCATTTCCTCCCATAGAAATTGAAACATTTTGATTTTGTCGCAAACCAGAGACGCGAAAATTAAACTTTGACATTTAATTTCTAATCAATTGTCAAATTTTCTTTCTTCTTCCCATTGAAAAGAATCAATTAACAACTCATTTAAATGAATCACAGGACAACTAGATTTAATTATTACGAATTATAAAAAATATTTTGAACATTTCTAAAGTTTTGTTGATTGTACACACCCATAAATGATAACTAAATTTTTGCAGATAGTTGAAAGTTTTGGAAGATTAATTTCTCAGAGTAGTTAACCAAATGAACAAAAAAATCAAGCTAAGGTGAAAGACCATAGGATAATTTTTTTAGTGAAACTGTTGATATAAATAAATCAGTTGATTGAGGTGGGAGAGACTTTACAATCTGATAAGTAATCAACTGAATATGAAACTTAAGCTTGACATGGGCTAATCTTTTCTGAGTGTGATTACATTTTTTTTTGATCGATTGTGAGACAGTTAAAAGAGTGAAAGAAAGGAAGGTGAGATAGAGAGAGAGCAGAAAAGAGAGATTAAGGAGACAATTGTTAGAAATTTGTAAATGCGACGATTAAACGGAGAAATGAGTACATTTTTAATCTTAATTATCATAAAATTAGATGATGGTTGTTCCCGTGTAGATGTTGATTAAGTTAGAAAAAAAACATTTCATCAGACGAGTTTTACAATTCATCTTTCTTGGGATCGGCTTTTTCTTCTTTCTCCTCTTCTTCGTCGATCTCCTGTGGTAAAAAAAAAGAATATAAAAAAGATTCGATTAGTTATGGTGCACAGAATTTGTAACAATTAACCTGAAGAAAAGAGTTATTGCTTGAGAAGAATTGAATAGAACATGGGGAGATCAAGATGAAGGAAAGGTTTTGTGAAAAAGTGAATGTTGATTTGATTTTCATGGACATGTAATTGGCTGAATTTAGCAGGAGCAATTAGTGTTAGCGCATAGAGCAAATGAAAGTAAAAAGTTAATCATTGTAATCGTAAAGTTAAGAGTATAAGTGGAATAGAAAAGACCTTTCAAATGGTTAATGATCTTTTCTTTTCCTTCCAGTTTCAAAACAGAATCCATGAGGATTAGTGAGTTTGAAATTTAACAGAAATAGATTTTCATAATATAAACAATATTACGCAACTAAAGTTGAAGAAACATGTCTAATAAACTTTCATTTGCACTGTATGCAATTAGTGAATAGTTAATATGGTTAATATTGATTAGTATTCAAAAAGATGGATACTTTTGGGAGGGGAACCGAGTTGAGGAGGAGGAGGAGGAAGTGATAGAGGGAGGGAGAAATTAGTTTAAATTAGTAAGTGTAGAGTTAGATCAAACCTCTTTTTTAGGACTAGCACCAAGTTTTCCATCGCTATCAATGAATTGGGATAATCCCTCTAAGGTTCTTTCCCCATTGTAATCCAACACCTTGGGATATAAGGATTGTACCGGATTAAAGGGTAAGGGGAGAGTGGGTAGGAACACCATGGCAAGAAAAATGGCAGAAAATATTGAAATAATTAGTAAATATGATACCTCCTGAGGAGCGGCTCGACCATATTCTCCGTTGGTCTCGATGAATTTGCTCAGACCATCCAAGGTTCGTTCACCATTATATTCAACAACCTAATTATCATGTTTGGTAATATTAACTCAATCATTTTAGTTTGGTGACAATTAACAAAATTAATAAATGAATATATCAAGTGGGCTTTGAGAAGACAAAAAATCAAATAGAGATAATTTATCTAAAATCCTGAGCTACTACCTGATTAGGCAATTACCCTTATAGATCATTTTTTTGCCATCACCGATAATTAAGATGCTAATAAGCTAAATATCTACAAAATGTTAGTTAAATTGTTGATTGTTGAATTGGTGTTAGTATTCAAAATGGAATCATTTCGTTGTTGTTGTTGTATGGTTTGAGCTTGAGAAATCCTATGGGGAAAAACACTTACCTCATTGGTATCTTTTTTGAAAAGTTTAATTGTTGGGAAACTGTTAATCTTTGTGTGCTCTAATTCATTGGCAGTAGCGTCCATTTTGGCGATAACAACATTAGCATTGTCCTTGTATTTTTCACCAAGGGCATCATAGATAGGCACCAATTGTTTGCAGTGTCCACACCATGGAGCATCTATTAGTAAAAAGATAAAGTGTAAAAAAGTTAGATTAAATTGTGATGATTAGTAAAATGTTATAAACCAGGAAGAAATGAAAAGACACTGATACAATTGAGTGTTTACTCAGTGTGTTTACTTTGTCCCCAAAAAGTAAAACAAGGAAAAAATGATTGTAATTAGACAACTTCTTCCTAATACATTGAGATGCAAAGCCAATCGAAAATTTCAAATTTCCAATTTTGTTCGTTATTTTTTAGTACTTACAGAATTCGACTAAAACATCTTTGCTCTTATCAAGAGCGACTTCATCGAAGTTTTTACCAACTAATACTTTAACGGGTTGTTTGTCCCAATCGCTTGGAACGTCTTGTGTTAAGAGATGTTTCTAATAATAAAATGAAAGAAGAATAAATTATTACAAAATTCCAATGATTTAAACCATTATGATAGATTACCTTAATTTTACCGTCAATAACACCTTGTACAAATGATCGGATGTTTTCTTCATTGATTTCAGAGGTTTCAGGCTTGTATTTGATCATATCTTCTTCAAGTCGGATCAATCTCATACCTGGTGCATCTTCAATCTTAAGTCCGAAGAAGTCCATGATTCGCTCATGATCTTCAATATCGGTGTTAATTGTGACAAAAAGAACCTTATTACGGAATTCTTTAGCAACAATTCTAAAACCTTCGACAATTTTTTCATAGCTGCTTGCCTTCTTACTAAGGAAAAGTAAATTATGGAACTTAATTTCACCTCCGAAAATCTTTTGAGCAGTCTATAAGGAGAGAGCGAGAGAGAGAGAAAGAAAAGAAAAACAAGTTGATGAACAAGAGAAGATAGAAAAAAGATGATTGTTGGTAAAGGTTTATAAGGTGGGGAAAAAGGTAAAGAGAAGAAAATTTTAAATTTGTTCAAGTTGATTGAGGAAGAAGAAAGCAAAGTGCTCATTGAACCATCAAAAACACACACACACACAAAGACTAGTGATGAAGATGAAGGGGTGGAAACCTACCTCATGGCTAAAATCAACAACAAGAGGAAGACTGTTACTGGTGATGAATTTTTTAAGACTCTCTTGGGTGATATCTTCGAAAAGATCGTTACGTTTTTCATCAAATTTCTTGAAAAGAACAACACCATCCTTGGAGACGGAAAATTCTTTGAAAACAGCATCATTAGAGGTGATACCAAATGGATGATCATCCATGGTAGCAGCAACTTCAAGGAAAGCTTTGGCAGCATCACTTTCACCTTCCTTGAAGAAACCAACGACGGCAACCTCAGCGGAATCTTTAAGTTTGTTGGCATCTTCAACGGATTCAAGGGTAAGGGCTGGAGGTCCAGTCTTTTTCTTAACCCATTTGAGTATATCGTCAGCAGTTCGACCACCATTATACTCAGATGCTTGACCATTTCGGAAAAATTTAAGAGTTGGATAACCTCGAACTTCATATTTTTCAGCTAAATCAGTTTCCTCAGTAGCATCAACCTTAGCCAAAAGGATTTCAGATCCTTCATCAGCAAGGCTTGTAGCTGCCTTTGCATATTCAGGAGCTAAAGCTTTACAATGACCACACCAAGGTGCATCTAGAAAAGATAAAAGAAAAAATTTAACCAATGATCAATTACTACAGAGTGAATTAACAAAGCCAAAATTAAAGTCAAGATAAAGCAAAGGTCATTCTTGAACATTAAGAGAAAAAAGAAGCAAATTAAATAATTATATTGGTTAGAAATTAGGAGAAAAACTTGAAAATCAAGCAAGGAAAAAAATGGAAAGAGAGAGAGAGAGAGAGAGAAAAAGAAAGAGAAAAAACTGACAAGTCAACACTTTTGGAGAATAGAAAAGAAAATGGAAAATTACTCACAGAATTCAACCAAAACATATTTGTTCTCTTTGATTACACCATCGAAATTAGATTTATTTAAAACTAGAACATTTTCCTCTTTTTTAACTTCCGAGGTAAAGACCAGATTAACGGCAAGACAAAAGATAAGTATCACTCTCATGGTGAAATATTATAAATCCACAAAGAGAGAAAAAAGTGAAAAATAATTTAAAAAGAAAAGAAGAAAAAAATTATTTCAACTATGATGTCAACCAATGGAAATAAAGAAAAGACAATCTTTTGTTACTAATTAACCACAGACAATGTCAATTAAAGTGAAACAATTTAAAGCAATTGGATTTATCGGCTTAAGCCGGAGAGATTTTCCAAAAAAGAGAGAACAACCTGAACACTTTTAATCTTTTAAACTGAACAAAGAAAGAGAGACTGAGAAAGTGTGGAATTAGAAAGAAAGTAAAGAAAGAGAGAGAAAAAGATGATGATGATTTTAAAGAGAAAACAGAAAGAGAATCAAAGCAACGTCACCATAAGAACATCGAAAGAACATCAATCCGATGTATCGACCATCGAATTGATGTTGTTCGATGTTCACCTGATGTTTGAATTAACGAGAATAACAATTGATTGATTAACTAATGACACGTTAATTGTCATCGTTATAATTAATATTTTCTATTTCTCCTTTTCCATTTCCATTTCTTTTTCTTCATTGTCGCATCATTTGTTTTTCTTTACTGGTAAGTGTTGGGTTTTTTTTCTCTTTTTCTGTTCGCCATCATTTGTATTCAGGATCATGAAGATGGAGAGAAAATTAATTTGTTGTTTTCTTTCGCACAGAACTTGTCTTGTTTATTCTCTTTCTTTCTTTCTCTTTCTCTGATCCTGTTGTGTCAAAAATTCTGGATCCATGAAGATAAAGAGAAGGGAGAAAAATAGAAAGAGAGAGAAGCTCAATGATGAGTGTGATGTTGGTGGATGAAAGGGAAAAATTCAGGGGTAGAAAAGAGAAAGAGAAAAAGAAAGTGATGTAATGATGATGAAGTTACCGTGGAGCTTCCCAATTGGTTAAATTCAATTTCCTGATTGTCTTCATCATCATCATCATCATCATCATCATCATCCGAATATTCTAAACTTGTTTCAATTTCCTCTGTCGACGTTTGTTGTTTTCTAATCTTTTCTTCCTTACGTATTTACTTTTTTCTCTCTCTTTCTCTCTTTTCTCACCGTAATTTCGTATCTCTTTTTTTGCAGAATCATCGCCAATTCATCAACCAGAATGACCACGAAACCTAAGCTGTTAATAAACTCACGATGAAAACAAGAAGAAAGAGAAAATTGTATCAGATGGAACAAAAATGATAACCTTAAAGTATAACTTTTCCATTTTCTCTCTCGCCTGTTGCGTGTTATATTTTTCTACCTAAAATTGGCTCTCTTTTCCTGTGGGTTATCAACAACAACAATTAAAGATTAAATTCCAATTCAAGTAGGAAGCAGTTGTAGGCGTTTAGATGGAGAGAGAAAAAGAGAGCAAAAAAAACAAGAGAGATCCTCTAATCTGTGTTATTCACCTTGAGTTGTAAATTAACAGTGACGAGCGTGCAGATGAATTTTATTTACGATATCAGAAGGATAATCATTGATTTGGGGAAATCATCATTACGAAATCAAAATGGAAAATGTCGCAAACATTACTTTAATTGTCTACTTTTGATTTATTTTTCCTCTATTACTATTGAGTAACAGTTAACGATGATACAAACAAAACAAGGAATAGAAGAACGAGAAAAAAAAGATGGACAATTTAACATTAATTGGACACTTTCCTTTTCCTCAAAGATTGCCAATGGTCAAGAACTGATTGTTTATGTTGGTCAAGAATATTATTGTAAAATTCACCAGAAAATTCTTGATTAGTTCCTCCTAATGAAGGTGGTAAATTTGATTTGGGAACAAATTTGTACAAAGTTTCCAAATTGGATCCATGGAAATTAATTCTTTGACGTAATTTAGCTGAAAGAAATGGTTTAAACAAATTAAATGCCATATTGGTCAATCGATTCTCGTAAATTAAATGGGCACTTTGAATAGTCCAAGGAAAACAATAATCGGTTATGTGTGAGGCCAATCGACTACCAGAAACACCGATGTGATAAATTTGTGACCAGGAAAGATTTCGCATATCGATTATACCGATAATCCCATTCTGTTGAACCGATCGATCCATTAAACTGATCTCACAGAAAAACAAAGTCTGTGGAAACCATTGCTCGAAACTAATTACATTTGGATTCCAAGAACCGGGTTTAATTATGACCACTTTACTTCCGTTAACATTATTAATCGGATAATGAACATAAATCCCGTCATTGGCCACTCTTTTTAACTCCTCTCTCCACGAAAATAAGTCTGGCCTCTCATTAACTACCGTCAAATAATTGGACAATATGGTTAACGCTTCCGTTTGATTGTATTCTCGAGATGATAAAAATTGTAATAACAATTGGTCACTTAAATTGTATCCTGAGGTTTTACGATTGGACTGGACTCGATCACGAAATTCATCCAACACTGATTTAGATTGGATCTGTGATTTACTAGTGAAATTTTCCACCACCATCAGGTCAAGTTTGGTCATCGTTGTTGACAATTTCCCGGAATCACTTGAATAATCAACTTATTAAATTATAAATATTGATATTGGTTATTGATAAAAATGGTAACCAATCAGTTGAAACAATGGTACATTAATGATTAACCCTTAACTGTTAATTCTTACTTTTTATCACTTTCACTTAGTGAGGACTGGATTAATTAATTTGGAACCTTGGAAATAACCTGTTTGATATAATAATTAATTGTTGATTGCTTACAATTAACTGTTCATTTCATCAACTCTCTTTTCCTCTTTTAATTATTATGGATCCGTCAATCAGGAAAAAAAGCTTAATCAATCAAGAAACAAAACTTATTAAGACGACGATTACGCTCATTAGGCTGGATTATATAATATAATTAAGATGATGACCTTTAATGATCAAGAATATAAAAGCTAATCAGTTGATTAATGTTAAGGACAAACAAACACAAACACGCACACGACAACAACAACAACAACAACTTTAAATTGTCATTACCAATTCAACTGATAAAGTGGTCAGTTTTATTAAATAGCCAGCGGACATTTTTGGACTCTATCAAAGAAGTGAAAAGTTTTATTAATATCCATTTTTGAAGATCAAATTGAAGATTTTAACCATTGAGTAAATATAAAAAGAAAAAGTCAATGATTAACAATCATGATTAACCAATGATCCTTGATCTAAAAAAGTAATACAATAACAATGGTTGGATGGAAGGAGTTAATTATCCCACTAATTAATTCCTATGGATAAATTTTAAATAATATCTTTTTGTTACTTGTTAATTTGATTGATTCAATTTTTGATTTTTCTAAATTGATCCCAAATTTGCATCACCTCTTCCTTGTGTTTCTCAAGCAATTGATTGTACATTGAAGTTGGATAATCTTTGGCTGATCCTCCAAGTGATTCTGGTAAAAGATTTGGTGAAACAAATGAATGTAAAGTTGAATAATCTTTCCCATGGAAGTGCATGATTTTCTTGGTGGACGAAGTCATAAATGGCCTGAACAACATGAGACCAGCGTCTTGTAATTTATTGGCATTAACAAAATGAAGAGAAACCAATTTACGAGGTAATATACGTTCCGTGAGATCGGAAAACAATTTAGCATCGGAAACACCAGTATGGTAAATGTGTGTCCATCGGATTCCACTCATATCGATGACCACAATGAAACCATTTTTCTGAACCTCTTCATCCAAAAGAGACATTTCAATCATAAAGATGACCAATTTAATATAAATACTATATGAATAGTCACTTGGATTCCATTTACTTGGTGTCACCAAACTGACCACACATCCATCTGATGTCCTCTCCGGATACTGGACATAAACACCAGAATTGACCACCTTTTTAATATCCTCACTCCAAGAAAAAAGATCCGATCGTTTATCAATTATATCGATATAAGCAAGAAGAGTGGACATTGACTCGGACACATCACCATCTCGAGATCGTAAAAATCGTAATAACAATTTATCGTCAAGATTTAAATTCTTGGTTCGATTTTGAGTTGACAATTTTTCTCGAAATTCAGTTAATTGTTTTTCACAAGAATCTTTCATCTTTTTTTTTTGTTGTATTTCTGTTTCTATTAATCACAAATGATAACAATTTGATTAACTAATTTACTATAAACACAAACAAAGGGAACAAAACAAAACAAAAAGTTGTTGTCGTTTCATAGACAAAATTTAAACTGATTCACAATTAGTGATCTCCTATGTTATTATATCGCTAGATTACAATTGAATGATGTTGATAATTAACTTTTTCTTTCTCTTCCACAGGATTTTACCTGAATGAAGGACAATCAATTTAAATTGTTGTGATCACTGCGTTCACCATTTATCTCACCAACTTGTCCAAGGTTAATATTGTGTCTCTCTGTCACTGATTAGCTTGAGGATATGAACTTGAAATTTATTTTCCCTGTTTATTATATCCACTTGATGATTGAAAAGAGGTGGTGATCATGGTAATTGGGAGTTTAAATCAAATCAACAATCAAGATAACAAGGTATACATATACAAAGTGATTAAGCTTAAGTTAATTCACCATTAAATTACCTTAGATTGACTGATAATATTTTATTTACAAAGATTATTAATAGTCTCAGTTATCCTATTAATAGAATTGTATTATTTAATTATTAGTAAAGTTCAATCTTTGGTAATTAATTGATTACTTTTTCTAAATTGAATGTTGTAAATTAATTGAGAAATCTAATTTGAGTATTTTTAGATAACCAGTAATCACCAGTAAGTCTTAATTTAATCCAGTTTATTTGACACGAGAATCAGTGGATCAATTTTGATTAGTTGACTTGTAATTAACTTTAATTAAGAGACAAAATTTTTACCTTCAGGTAAATTGTTTACATTACAATTAGCTCAAGTGACTTTAATTGCTTGGACAGTTGGTGTAATTGTTTACCAACCGGTTTAATTGTTGGTTTAATTATTTGGAAATCATTGAATGAACAAATTTTTTTTTAATTGTTCAACTTTTAAATTTTGCTTCTCTTGATAGTTAATCAATCTGATTAAGATTCATAATTTTCACTTTCAATTGTGACTATTTGTTAATCTTTCATCATTTTCAAGCCTCTATTCCTTAACTACAAATCTCACAATTAACTTAATTGTAAATAGGTTTAACTGTTCATTGACCTTGCTAATTATCCAGGTTTCTCAATGGTAAACATGTCTTGATTGTTAAGAGACCACAATCAATTTTTGATAATCTGAATTAGTAAATAATTCACTCAATTGATTTACTATAATTGTTTCAGTGTAATCAGTAAATAAACAACAATTAACAATAATTTCATTTTGATTCAAGTAGATTAACCTCCTTTTCCTAATTTTTCATTGTACATTAACTCACAATTAATTGTTAAATCAGCAACTTAGTTGTTGCTGATTAATATAATTCACCAGTTGGAATAATAATTCCCAACAATTAACCAGCAAAATCTCATTTAATCAATAAGAGTATAAATTTACATTCAAACTCTTGGATTGATTTAAATTGTTACAATCAAATTAACCTTGTCCAAATTACCAATTGTCTAATTTAGTCAAGTTTTTTTTTCCACTCTTTGGTTAATCAATTAGATTGTAAGATGTACAAACAACACAACGATAGAAATTAAATTCAATTGTTGATTTAAAACAAAAATTACTCAAGGACAATTCTGAAGAATCATGATGAGTAGAGAGAGAGAGAGAAATATATTTAATCGTAACAATCAATTGTTGCTGTTGATTAAAAGTCCATTGATTGTGTTTTCCATTTACCAATTTATATTCAATTAATGATGATGATTTAAACAATGGTTAATTGTAAATGAAGGTAATAACAGGTATCAAAGTTTTCCCATTTTCGTAACTGTTAATTGGACAATTTAACAGACAAATTGCTGATAATAAAAAATGGAGAGATTATTATAAAGGTTGGTGAGAGTTAATTGTTATCCTGGTATATTGTATGTGTCTCATTGCCATTTGATTAACAATCGACTCGTTTCCGTTGAACCAATCGGCTTACCCCAAATGCCTTCCCGTCGGATCTTGTAAACATAATCGTCGTACCCACGGCCTTTCCCATAAGCGGGCACCTTTAAATATTTGCCGTTGTACCAAACTTTGAGCCAAAAGTATTCCTCCCAAACGCAACTGTGCCAAGGGGTGAAATTAAAGTTCATCTCTTTGCCCATTTTGATTGTTTCAGTTCCAAAGGCACGAAACGGATTAGTGACCCTAATTTGAACCTCGGACGATGTTTGGTTGACAATGACGATCTTTTTAGCTCCTAAATTGTGTATAAAATGAACGGAGAAACAATTAATGTCTAGTGTTAATCTTGGTTCGTTAAGGTGATGGTAAAATTAATTACAATTTGAAATTGATTAGAGAGTCAATTTCAAATTATATTGAATATTAGATGGCTGATATTGATTACTGATTGTTTTGGTTAGTTAATGATTAGCAATTTGAAATTGAATCTTACCTGACATGTTTGTGAATTTGTTTGTTAACAATATTTAACTGATTTTGATGGAAATATTTTGATTTTTGTTCAACAATCAGACACAATACTTGAATCAATGAACAGGTTTCATGAGATTTTTACACCATTGACTTGGGTGATTATCGTTGATAATATTTTCTTAGGAGTGGTTATCAGTGGTGTTTATATGTGTGTGTGGAGTAAATGTTAGTCTGAAGATAAGATTGAAGATGAAGAGAGAGAGAGAGAGGGAGAGAGAAAGAGAAAGAGAGATGATATATTTTGATGGAAATGATGATGATTCTTTCACTTCCTTGGGGCTGATTACATGGTAATTCGTTGTTGATTTAGAATAAATTGTAAAAATGGTAAGACTTTTCCTCCCAAATTAAGGTCATCGAAAAGGTCGACCACTTATGATCCTTGGATGATCTTGTAGATTCAAATTGTCAACAGTTAATCAACTCTCTCTCTCAGCATTTAATTGCTACAAACAAGCTGATCACTAAACACAATCACCAAAAGTGAGAAATAATTTTCTTCATCAGGTAAACACAATTGTTGATGTTGTGGTTTATTGGTTTAAATGGTGATGGCAGTTAAATCATAGAAGATGAAATTTAAAACCTCAAATGAGTTTCAATCTGAATGAAACAAAACAAGAAGAGAGAGAAAGAGAGAGAGAGAGAGAGAGAGAGATGAGATGATGAGATGATGATAAAAGGGAAAATAATTTCTTACCTTTCCATCATTTGTATTAATACCTTGACTTTTATTCAACAGGAGAAAACAAATTACCTGAACAGGTAAAAGGCCTGATTATTGTTTGTTACCATTACTACGATGGTGCTGATACTCATTCTCAATCTCCTGTTTACTAATTGTGTATTACTTTTAATTTGGTTAATTGTTAATCAAATTAAATCAGGTATTAGACTAATGGATCCATTTGGGTGTGTACATGTAACCGTTTATACAGAGAATCTGTATTGAAGTTAATTGTGACACAATTAACAGAATAGGTTAACAAGGTTAATTAGAATGTAGATTTGTATGAGCATTTTGATTTTCTTAAAAAAAGTTTCAAACAATTAACTTAATTAAATACTATTTGTTGTTTACACACAATGATAACCTGTTGATTTGTTTATCTCAACAATTTAATCCGAGCTTTTTATTTATACATTTAGTTGAATTAACAGTTGATTATTAAAAAGTCAAGGTTTCTCGTGTCCATAATAGTGACTGATGTAATTTAATTGATGATTATAATACAATTAAGTTAGTAATTAGTTAGCGTGATTGAAAATAATCACTTGAAACAAAAAATTGAAGAGAAAAAAATTTTTCCTTTAATCGTAAGATTTGAATAATTTGAACTCAAATTGTACATGAAATTATAAACTAACCTTGTAGATGAGAATCGTTGAACAATTATAACTATTTTAGTGACAATTAACATCAGAAAATTAGTGAAAACAATTAAAAAAGTCAATTAACTTTTAATGAAAAGAAGTGTCGCCATCTATTGAGCGAATAACTATTTTCATGTTAAAAGTTTGATTTTCAAATTCATTTCCAATTGTTGTTGTTGTTTAATTAAACATTAGAAAAGGTGAGAAATTTAAAATCGATTAATCTTGTTTCTTAATTTCTGTAATTACTTGAGCCAGAAGCTTAGGATTAACTCCATTCTCAACCATCCGACGACAGAGAGTCAACACTTCCAGGTCAAGATTAATCTCCAATAACTGAGCCATCTCATAGAAAAGGATGATCGTTGATTTGTCCTTAGAATCTGTATCAACAGGTGAGTTCTCATTAATTTTATCACTTTTATCAACCAGTTGAACCATAATTGCAAACAATTAAAATGGAAAAGCAACAAAAAAAAGCCACAAACAATAACAACAATCACAGAAAAGAACAACAAGAAAAAGTGAGTCAGTTTTTTGTTTTTTCCCTCCAAACGGTTGAAAAAAAATTCTACCAAAATGGTTGGAACCTTAGAAATCAGATGGCGCTTTTTACTTTTTCGTGTTTGTTTTGGATTTGGTTTTGTTTTTTTCCAATTTTGTTACACAATGAAAACCTTTTTAATTTAAATTCTTTAGTTAAATTGAATTAAACTTCTAATTAATTGATTAATTTTATCTCCTATGTATTAGACTGGCTGGAATTTTATTCGAAAGTTGTTATTGTTCACTTGGTGCATGAGAAATGTCAGAACCGGTTGATAGTGTTCACTTTGATGGGATTTATCAACAAACGTATAATTTTCAAAATTGGTCAATTGTTACTCGTCGGAGTCACATTTTACAATCAAGTTGTTCCGATGGGTGTGAAATTAAACCATCTAATCCATTGTGTCTTTTTTGCAAGTAAGTAGATCTAAGTGTTAGACAATCGATTGGAAATCAAATCTTGTTCTGATGGTGATGATGGTCAATAGATATTTGCAACAATTGTCTTTTTAGCTTTTAACTCTTTCCGTTGATGTTTTGTTTAATTTATTTTCTAAAAGAATAATTTTCTTTCTGTTTACAGATTTAACTCAGAATTATCTCTTATCCATTTTCCTGATATGACATTTGCTAAAAATATTTTACGCTTGGAAAATACGAAAGGATTTGGTCTTGAGTTTGATTGTCTTAATGCACTCAAGTCAATTCCAAAAACAGCTCCCGAAGGGATGAAAGTTGAAGTTTCTCAGGAATGGTTAAAGGCAGAGAAGATTTTGAACAATCAAAAGAGTTCCCAATCCATTTGACTGGACTTTTACCACAACCTACAAGGGTCATTTACTTGCAAGTCGTGATGGTCAAACTTTACTAGAAGAACCAACAAACGAACGGATTGACATTGAAAAGCTTAAAGTTAAAGAAAATATCCTTTTCTATGATGAAGTTCATCTTTTTGAAGATGAACTAGCAGATAATGGAGTTGCCAAATGCTCCGTTAAAATAGTTAGTTTTCCATAACAAAATTTCCCAATCCCAAAATCGAATCGAATCAAATCTAATTTCTTTCTTTCTCTCTCCCAATTCTCACAGAGAGTGATGAGACATTGCTTCTTCATTCTACTCAGATATTTCCTTCGAGTTGATGGAGTAATGGTGCGAATCCATGACACAAGAATCTATCACGAAGTAAGTTTCAAACAGTCGAAAATCAGTAAATCATCTTATCAATCGTCTAAATCAAATTAATTTTTTCTTCTATTATCTTAAAGGTTGACAAAAATTACATGATCCGTGAATACACAAGAAAAGAGGAAGATATATCCAAGGTTGAACTACCAATTGATATTTTACTTGATCCAGTTGAATTAAGTCAACGATTACCAACAAAAGAAGCCATTTACACCAAACTCAAATTTCCTTGTTAATTGTTTATAAATGAGAAAAGTCAATTTTTTTTCCTTCATCCAGTTTATCCTAATCAATTGATCGAAACTACAACTAAATTAAACATCAACATCTCCATTGGATCTCAAAGCCACAAGAAAAATAAATCACTTGAATTGACAAATTATATTTTTTTAAACACTTGATACATTTAAATTTCCACTGACAATTTATTAATCAACAATTCCACCTTAATTAGCTCAATACAGATTCTAAATTGAAATTGACTCTTCGATGAGACAAATTGTCAGTAAAAAAAAAGTGTTACAATAATCAAGGATTCTAGTTGAAATAATTTAACCTTAATTGTGAATAGATTTGTTGTTGTCTATTTTTTCATCAAATTAAATCATCTCAGATCAATTAAATCATCAATGGGTGAGTCTAGTGTTCAAAATCAATCAATTAGTGAATCAATTAAAGGACAACCAGAATATTCAAATGAAACTTATTACCGAGCTGATGATTATATTAAACGATTACAATTAGTCAAATCAATTGGAAGAATATTTTTGTACAATGATAATAGTAATTCAAAGGACAATTATCGTTATCAAATTGTAATTAAAAAAGCATCTTCATCAGGAGGTTATACAATTTTCTCGACCAACAATCAACGGGAAAGTGAACGGATTCTAATCCGATTATCAGCCATTTTCGAGCAGATCGAGCGATTTATAACCTTTAAAACGAAACGTAAGTTAATTAGTTGATTGGAGACAATTTCCTCTTAATTGTTGTCGTTTGTTTGTCCCCACAGAAAAAGTTTTACGAGCTTACAAATCAATTGTTGATGTTGCTTTGTCCCATATGGATTGGCAGTGGATCCATATTGCCACTTTTCTTGAAATGATTAACGTATTTAACTTACCAATTAGTTGTGATCAATTGAACAATAATGAAAACGATTACCTTCAAACTCCACTGTTAATTGCAATTAAAACGGGAAAAATTGAAATGGTTAAAGCGATTTTAACATGTAAACCTGATTTAACTCTGATTGATTTCGAAGGTAATTCTTGCCTACATTTATCAGCAATTAGTTCAACTAGTTTATTACGATTGGTGATTAAAGATTTACACCAAGCTCATGGATTAACTTTATTCCATCATGTTAATCAGTTAGGTTATACTCCGTTCCATTTGGCCTGTGTCCATGAAAAGATTGGTAATGTTCACGAATTCATGAGAATTGGACTCACGATAAGACTTTTAACCCTCAAAAGAATTGAATCTGATCAAGATTCGACGAGAAATATTATCCAAAGATCTTCACAATTAAGAGTCAACAAAGATGAGCAACGAATCAATTTCACTCCCGAAATGTTGGCCGGTATCGATTTCAGTGAATGTAAACACGCCGGTAGTCCACTTCATTGGTGTAGACGGCAGAAACTGATGACCCAGTTAATTGGCTTTGGATTTAAATTGTTGACTGTTAATCAGTTAAACGAAACACCACTTCATTCAATGATTAGGAGTAAGCGACTTGATTGCATGTTACCTTTACTCAATGCGGGGGCAAATGTCGACATCCCTGGACCTAATGGACAAGCACCGATACACTTTTCGATTACTGTTGGATTTCGTGAAGGTTTTCAGGCCTTAATTGTTTACGATTGTGATTTTAATTTGGTTAACAGTAAAAATCACACTCCAAGACATCGTATATCCCAACGATCAACACCAGACCATTTGGATATGTTATATGTCCTTGAAAAATTAGGAGCCTCAAGATGTCCGGCTAAGACTTACGGCTGTAAAGATGGTTGTGCTTTCAAGGGTGTTTTCAATGGTCATCCATTGTCCACTTGGCCTGATCCGATTCCTGCTCAATATTTTAATCCATTTAGACATTTGACTGCAGATTCGAACTGTAATTCCTCGAAAACAACAGAAAACAGACAGAAAAAGGTCAACATGTTGTGTATCGACGGCGGTGGGATGAAGGGTTTATTTGGAATTCAAAGTTTACTTGAACTGCAAAAGTTACTTGATAAACCGTTGATAGATCATTTTGATTGGATCGGGGCCACTTCAACGGGCGCTATTATTGCTGCTTCCTTGGTTGTTGGTAAGCCATTGAAACAACTACGAGCCGAATATTTTGAGTTGAAAGATGAAATTTTCAACCCGAAAAGGCCACATAACACTGAGGCATTAGAACAGATTTTAAAGCGTAACATAGGCGCCGATCGGAAGATCAATTCAATTACGGATAAAAAACTAATGATCACAGCGATATTAGCCGATCGTGACCCGCCTCGTCTCTATCTATTCCGAAGTTACTTACCAAAGATTGACCTTAATGAGCCCATTCAAATGGATGGTCAACCCTACAGGTCATCAGATGATTTTGCCGTATGGGAAGCAATTAGAGCCTCATCAGCAGCTCCAGCCTTTTTCAAACCCTATGGTCCGTTTATTGACGGCGGTCTAACGTCCAATAATCCGACACTTGATTGTTTAACTGAATTCTTCAACAATAACAATAGTTCACTGTACAAATCTTCATGTTCAAAAATTTCAATTGATGACGATTCATCATCGGAGATACTCAATCTTGTCCTGTCCATCGGTAATGGTAAACCAAGGCCAATCTCCGTTGGTAACTACGATTTTGGTAACATGGCTTTCCGTAAGAATCCAGTTGGCGCCTTTAGATCAGCAATTAAATACATCACGCTGGGCGAGCTAGTGGTCAAACTGGCCACTCATCCCGATAATCACGTTGTCCAGCGGTCAAAGGCCTGGTGTGGGTCACTTGGGATTCCATATTATCGGCTTAATCCTCCATTGAAAGAGAAACTTCCGCTCGATGAAACTCGAGATGAAAAGATAGTCGAGGGGATGCTTTTCGCTAAGATCTTCATGTACACGATTAGAGATCAAGTGAAAGAAATTTTCGATTTGATTAAATTGAGTTAACAAATCTACTGATTGTGAAACAATCAATGTTAACCATTCAACGAAATCAACAATTTGTAAACCAAATAAAAGAGTTGACGTAGTTTTCATTTTGATATTTGATTGCGTTATATTTCAGTTAATTAAGTCATGGTCATTGGAATTGTAATACAATTACAAAAATTAATCAATCAAATTGGTAATCAGAGTTAATTGTAAAAAAAACAAATGTTAAGGTTATTGACGTTTCAGTAAATAGTTGGATAATAGGAGATCACATGTAATGTTGTTAATTGTTACAATTAGTTTACCTATTGAAGACAAGTAAAAATTAAGGTCACAATTTGCAATTATCTGAGTTTTTTACTCAATTTTAAATTGGACAGAAACTACAATTAAGGAAAATCTATGAATCTTGATTATTGGAGACATAGAAGGTAAAAGTGTTGTAAAAAGAGAGGTGATAATAGTATTAATAGTGCCATAGTTGGTAGTAATTAGTAGTAATTCATTAGTAAATGATGGAGTAATCAATCAAATCCCTGGTCATCCCATGGTCACCTCCGAGAAGAAAATGAAACTGAATCATCGTTATCGTGACTACACAAACAAGAAGTTAATCTGTTTCAATGAAAAGAAAAAGTAAACAATTAATAACCAGATAATCAGTGAATTCATGAATCGATATAACCAATCAAATTAATAGAAATCAAAATGAATAATAATAATAATCTATTGCTTGACTTGATTCTTTCAAGTGAATATCATCAAACAATTAACTCTCTTTTTCTCAAATTGAATATTAGTGTTTATAAAATTGTTTCTAGTTAATTTACTCATGGCAATGGCTCATTATACGGCCACTATTAAGCCAAGTTTAGCTGAATCGTTGACCGTTAATTTCATCGCTCTTAGAATGGTTTTATTAGCTATTATATTATCTTCATTTTCATCTACATTGGTCTTTTCAGTTTTACGATTAATTGAACTTCATGTTATTCTTACCATTGAAACGGAATCTTATTTATTGGCTCATGATGTTGAACCAATTCAACAACAATACCGACATCGCAAGATAATTGTGATCGTGGCCACATCAATACTTGCCTTCTTCAAAGTTTGTACCTTCATTATCGTTTACATAAAACGAAAATTGCTGATTAAATTGTGGAGTATCCTTGTCCTCATATCTTGTTTCGGGCACATTGTAATATCGGATTTTGACTCCCTTATTTTTGAAATTGTCACCTTTGCCATGATTATAATATTTATCTGTATTGATCGGAAAAAGATTAAACTTGGACTTAAATCATTGACATTTTAAAAACAATCACCGTAACTTCAACATCAATATCAACAACAAACTTTCAACTGTAAACAAACACAAGGAACATGAAATATGATCACCAGATTAATATGTATGTTTAAAAATTGACGTTAATTGTTAGAAATTTAAAGAGAAATTTGTATAATTCAATTGTTCCATTGAAAGAAAATACATTAAAATAATGGATTAATTACCTTTCCTCCTGTCCTTTTTGTTGTACTTTCTAACATCTTTATCTTGATCACTATCCAAATCAACTGTGTGGATTAACCAATCAACAATTAATTTACACTCATTGTTACCATTGGATGACATTATTGCAATTAAAATCGACAGCAAGATGACCAATGAAGACACCAGAGAAAAAGAAACCAAGAAATGTAAGCGAAACAACAACAATAACCAGAGGAAGGAGCGAAAAAAAATTCAAATCTTTTCTTCACAAGAGTAAATCACCAAATCAATTGATTCCAAAATTAAATACTCTTGTATTTACGATAATCCAGTAGGCGATTAATCCTGTTATATGGTAATAAGAAGGTAAGATAATTGTGAGAAATAATTGTTGATTGTGAAAACAATTTGGTTGTAACAATTAACCAAGAACAACAAGAACCATGTGGAAACTGAGCCTCTCGAGAAAAAAGAGAGCGAGAGTGAAAAAAAGAGGAGCTAAAAAAAAGATTAAGTGAGAGGAAGGAAACAGTTGGATTAACCAAGGTCTTGGCTTAAATCTTTTGAGCTAAGGGAGCAGATTAATCATCAGAAAGAGAAAAGCGAAAACAATTTAAAACTGATTAGCAAAATCAATCAAAGAGATAGAGAACAATTTTTCTTTTCTCTTTTTGATTTCAATGTGACTTTCCCTCGTTTATTGTTGATTGTTAGGCCTATTGAGAAAGAGAGTATAAATTTTGACACAATTAATGACAGAAAAAAAACAATTAACTGGTACAAGAGAAGAAAAAATGAACAAATCTATTGGTTAATTTGGAGAGAATAGAAAATCAATCTCTCTCTCTCTCTTTCTATCCTCATTATTTTGAGTGTTTTCAACAATCGTGGCGGGAGAGTTAGAAGGAGGAAAAATTGTTCTTATATTAAAACGGCGATCGAGTTTGTTGATCATTTACAGTTTGATTGTAAAAGTGTTAACACTCAACAAAACCACACCTTACAAAATTTGGATCATGAAGTTAAAGGGATCAGTTAATTACTTGTCAGTGTTATTATTATTATTTGTGATTAATTGTGTTCAAGTGAGTTTACAATTACCTGATTTATCTTCAGATAAAGTATCCGATTTAAAGGTTGAAAGTGATTCCAAAGTTTCAGGTTATCAGAAAAATCATGGATCTCATAAAGAAGCTGATTCCAATGGTTGGAAGAATTTAAAATCATCAAGTAAAGGTAAATTAGACAAAGGTAAACAGGATGAGGAAATGTTTCTCGGTGAAGGTAAACATAAAGCGAAAAAGGTAAATGGTTTCCATTCGGAATCTGGTGGACATAAGAGTAAAGACAAGGGATTAAATAAAAAATGGAATCGTGGTGATGGATTAATGAAAACATGGAATTGGAATAAGGGTGGACACTCAGAGGAAGAGGAGGGTGGAAAATGGAAGACAACTCTTCATCATAGTGATAAAAGTGGAAAAAAGATGGGACATTCTAAAGAGAAGGCAAGTGATGCTGGTGGATCTCATTTGGAATCTTCAAAGAAGAAACTGGGATCAAGGGAAGGTTCAAAAAAGAAGATGGAAAAACATGATAAAAAGGAGAAACAATCGAAAAAATGGAATAATGATTCAGGTAAATCATCTTCTTCCATGGAAAAGAAAATGGATCAAATGAAATTCGATAAATACGAGAAACCGATGAGAAGTGGTGGTGGTGGTGGTTGGGGTGATGATCAACATGATTCTACCTTTAAAGGTAAATACTCTCATCCATTAGGTTACAAAGGTGTTGATCATAGTTCAATTCATGGGGGAAGATTATCATCTTCTCATGAACATCATCATGCAAAGGAAAAAGTTATGAGTAAGAATAAAGGTAAAAAAGATAAATTTGATTCTCTTGATGGAGAACTAGATGATTCTATTGATAAAAATCTACCCGATGAATTGAAATCATTGAAAGACATGGAAGGAGAGATGATGGATTAACATGGAGAAACAAATCTCCAAATGATAATTCAAAACGAAAGATTTAACAATTTGAACTCTCAGTTGATTATCTCTTTTTTAAAAAGAAAATTGTAAATTATGTAACATGAATACTAATCCAATAGATTCTAATCCGTAAATTGTACAATCATAAACCATTCTAATCATCTCATAAATAAATTATAAGATTTTAATACTAATTTAGATCAATTGACTATGAATTTCTTTCAAATTATGAGCTTAAAGTGCTAATGATCGTTACGATGATATGAAAATTTAGAGCTGAAGTCATGATTGATTCGCTGAAAAAAAAAATGAAAAGAAAGAACATAAAATCAGCTGATCCAATGACAAAGTCTCAGTGACAAGAGACTTGAGAGATTTAATCAATTAACTGTCATTCGATTGATTAGTCACAATAAATAAGAATTAGAACTAAAAGCAAATCAATAGAAAAAGTGCCTATTTAACTCAGAATGAGAATCCTTGCGAAAAAAACGCCTTCGCATGATGGAAAAATCAACATGAGTCAATAGGAAACGATAATAGAATATGAGAAACATGTGAATAGAATTCAAAAGATCAGATTCACTTCCGAACTAAACAATTTAGAAGTTAATTAGAACTCAAAAGGTTGAAAATGGAAGCGTAATAAGCGCCAATAAGTTAGCCTATCACCCGATTCCATGACTAGATGTCTCTTTTTCTCTTAAAATTGTTTTGTTCTCTTTTTCTTCTAATAATAACCTTTGATTTCGTCATATTCAAATTTGGAAAATCTTTCGTCCTTTAAACACGAGGTATTCACGAAACTGCCAACGAAGATGTAGGAGATACTCAGTTCTCATTAGTCATTTGTCTTTCATGTTAAACTGATCATCTTATTAATATTTTCAAACTGAAATTCTATATAATCAATCATTACTAGAATTGTCATCAGATAACTGAAATAACGAAAGAGAATTTTCAATAAGTTAGAATAAGATTCGCTAATCATAAAATATCTCAACTTCAATTAGCAATAATGTTAAGTGAAAATGAGAAAGATAAATTGATCCATCATCAGCTGTTCAAATGATACAATTTCTTATCCTTTAAAAACGATAATCAATATGAAGAATATGACAGAAAAAAAACAAAACCAAATAAACAGAAAATAACAAGAAAATAGAACAAGAGAAGAAAAGAACAATTAAACAAAAAAGAATAAAACAAAAATTCTATTCTAAAAAGCAGCCGAATATTTTTCTCCCGAGAAAGTCTTCCAACTCAATATGGCGAATCAAAGCAAAGAGAATCACAAAACATTGAAACGAACAAAAAAATCCTTCTAATTATACCAGAGAATCAGTGAAAATTAATCAAAATCTAATTAAAAATTAGCAAAATTTTCACCAAACAAACAAAAAAGAAACAAAAAAAAACGCAAATAGAAACAAAGTAGAATAAAAATAGAAAACAAAAGCCACCATATTGTTAAAGAAAAAGAGAACATACCAAACAAATGGAACATTGAGTGAATAGAGAGAAAAACAGTTGGAAAGAATGTAAATCAGATCAACTTACCGAGTAAATAATCCAAATTGAAAGAATTAATTAAAACAATTAAAGAAAAAACAATCAGAATTAAAGGTTAACCAGAGAGAAGACAAATTAAACCAACAAACCGAAATTGAGAAACATAATGAGCGCCAACGAGACGAAACTCTCATGTTCTATTCTAAGTGTAGATGTCGCTCTGATTCTAACATGTGTGAGTCTTTCTATTCTCTTTCTTTACTTACTTTTCCAACTTCATCTTTCTCATTCTCTTTCTCCTTTTAATATTTTCTCTTCTTTTTCATCCTCTTTTTCCTCTTTCTTTTTTCTCATCATCATTTCATCTTCTTCTTATTTTTTTCATGGAATAATATCTTGAGCCTGTGTGAGTGTCGATTATTATTATCGTTGTGTTTATTTTTCGTTGTTATTGATTGTGTCTCTTTATCCTTTTCCTTTTCTCTCTTTCATCCTCTTATTCTTGTCTTTCTTCATCTTTCTCTCTCTCTCTCTTTTAAATGTCTTCTAATTGAGAAAAAAAAACAGAACTAAAAAACAATTACTGCTAAATAATCATTACTATTATGTTATGGGTTTCTAATTAACTAACCCTTTCTATTTCTCTTTCTTTCTTCTATTTGGTTTGGTCTCCCTCCCCATTCTTAGGTGACTTCTCTTACAGTAGTCATCAAGATGTCCGATAATAATCACAATATTGACCATCAAATCCATGGTAAGTGCTCATTTTTTTCTCTACAGTTTCTTTTTCCTCAATGAAATTGGAAACATTTTATTACCCCAACCCTGTGTTCCTGGTTTTCTTTTCACAATCTCTCCCATTTTTGTCTCTTCGCCTGTGTGTGTCGTTCTGTCTTCTCTCTACTTTTTCTCTCTCTCTCTGTTTTTAAATGTCTTCTAATTGAGAAAAAAAAACAGAACTAAAAAACAATTACTGCTAAATAATCATTACTATTATGTTATGGGTTTCTAATTAACTAACCCTTTCTATTTCTCTTTCTTTCTTCTATTTGGTTTGGTCTCCCTCCCCATTCTTAGGTGACTTCTCTTACAGTAGTCATCAAGATGTCCGATAATAATCACAATATTGACCATCAAATCCATGGTAAGTGCTCATTTTTTTCTCTACAGTTTCTTTTTCCTCAATGAAATTGGAAACATTTTATTACCCCAACCCTGTGTTCCTGGTTTTCTTTTCACAATCTCTCCCATTTTTGTCTCTTCGCCTGTGTGTGTGTCGTTCTGTCTTCTCTCTCTACTTTTTTTCTCTCTCTCTCTTTTCTATCTTCCTCTTTTTCACTATTTGTGTTTTTCATCTTTACTGTTTTTTGCCTTATTCCTCTTTCCTTTTGTCTCTGTCTATCTCTGTCTTTTTTTAATATTCTTCCTTGCTCCCTTACCTCTCTTTCTCTCTCATTCCTGTTTGATATTTGACTTTCTTTCTCCACCTTTCTCTAACTCACTTCTTTCTCTCTCTCTCTCTCTCTCTCTCTCTCTCTCTCTCTCTCTTAGACCCTTATTTGACTAAACCTGACGCTTAATTGCGTTGTTATCTAATTGTACCAAAAATTTCCCAAATCGTTTGCAATTTTCTAATCGAATATTCTTTTTTTACTCTTTTCCCTTTTCTCATCATGTCTTCCATTGGTTCCATTGGTACAGGGTCACCTTCAACCGAGACCAACCTGAATGAATCTATTGTCAAAAATGCTGAGGCATTCTCTTCTAGCGTTAAAGTTCTCAATCAATTTATCAGTCATCTTCTTAATGAAATGAAAGTTAAATTTAACAGTAATCCTGTCAATCTAGCAGATTTAGCGAAATATGATATGTTTGTATTGGAAACGTTGGTCATTAAGACAATGATTTGTCTAGATGGATGTCTTAGTATTTTCAGTGAGAACAGTTCTTCTCCATCATCATTATCTGCACTCACTTCGATTACCACTGGTACCACCACAACCTCTACCACCAATAATACTACAGCTGCTACAACATCATCATCATCCACCACAACAACTACCATCACCACCTCAACTACCAGCAGTTGTAGTAGTAATACAAGTACACCTCCACCATCATCTTCCTCCTCTATCCAAAGAAGGGAAAATGATGCCGGTTGGTTAAAAAGTCAAAAAAGTTTAAATGAAGCAAAAGCCAATGCCGCTGAAATCCTGCCCAATATTATTCAGCTGATTGAATTATTCTTTCACCAAATTCGATGGACCATTCTTAATTATTTACCTCTTGAGGATGAGAGTCTAAAAAATATACGAACTCTTCAAGCCTATGATTCTCTCCTACGAATGACCACCGTTAAAGCGGTCGGTAAATTAGGTCCTTTTGCTATGTCAATTGTTAATTATTTACCTAAGAGCTTGCTTGAGGCTGTGGACAAGTGGAATACTATTCAATTAGAATCAAATTTACCCAATTCTAGTGTTAACAGTGGTGGTATTGCTTCATCATCATCTTCTTCTTCATCTACCTGGCGTAAAGAATTTACCTCTTCAGTTTTACCCTCCGAAGCATTTGCATTCTCTTTCTCACAAAATTTCCATTTCAGTGCACTAACCTCTAGTTATTCCTCCGATGATCCCTGTTTTATTACTAGAAATGCAAACCTTAAACATGTCACCTCAACCCTTTTAAAAGCCGCTGAAGAAATACTTTTATGGTCAACTGCCAGTGGTTCCTTTTCTAACCTTCAAAGTCAACTTAAAGAATATTTTGCCAAAATATTGATACCTTTAGGTCTTGACCTAACCCTTGAATCATTTAACAATTATTGTAATCAATCAATTGAAAATATTTGGGATTCTCGTGAAAGTGATGAATTTCTTTGTGCAAATTATATTGAAGCTCTTCACCATAGTTTTGACATACTCACGGAACACAGTCAATTTATTGATGAGAAAATATGTATCGAATGTGTTAAACTAATTGAAAATCTCCTCGAGGTATCGGCCGGTCAATCTGCCCTTGAAAAATTTTTCTGTGATATGGATTCTGGTGAACCTTTAACCAACCTTTTATCATCAACATCCTTAACCTCATCTTCGGCTGTTGATACTGAATTTAAACGTGATAAACGTGGTATTGTTAGCCTGATAACTTCTGCTTCATCCAAAAATTTATCCTCCGCCTATTCAAGTAGAATTCTAAAATTTCTTGTCAAATTGTTTGAGATGACCGAGAAAAACGCTGATTCCATTAGTTTGATTCGTCTTTGCTCATCTTTAACCCATCTACGTAATTTTACACCTCAAGAGAATGAGAAATACCTACAAGCCTGGCTTAATAAGCTTTTCTGTATAAAAAGTGACTCCCTTGGTGAATTTAATTTCTCCCTAACTGCAGAGAATCGTTTAGCCTTGCAAAGTTTAACCTCCTACATTGTTAAAGAAAATTCCACCGTCGATGAAGAAGTTGCCGGAGCTCTTTTATCTGCCTTGATTCCTATTGCATCCATCGTCCTTTCCTCTAGTTTAGATGCAAAAGGTTTTCCCGATCTTCTCTCAACAATGACCACCCTGGCCAGTGCTGGTTCGGGTACCGGTCACTTTGACCTTGTTAAAGCTGTTTTCGGTTGGTTAGATGTTTGTGGTAAATATCTTTCTCAAAAAGATGTACTCGAAAAATTGGAAAACAATGTAACCTCTGGTCGACATCAGATTATCATTGAATCTACTTGTTACATGCTCTCCTACCTGTCAGATGTTTTTGAAGCTTTTAAACTTTTCAACAATTGTGGTGATAATAATTCTTCCTCCCACTCTTCAATTGATCGACCCTCTTCACCCTTACCTCCAGAGGAATCTGGTTCTGGTGTTGTAGGTGCCGTTGGTGGTGTTACAGGTTCACTTGACCTGGAATCTGAATGGGTTGATGATTTAACCTGCCTTGATGATGATGAATCAGCTGGTGATGAATCGGATGAAGATTCATTGTGCAATAAGCTATGTACCTTTACGATAACATTGAAAAATTTTATGAATCAACATTGGTACCATTGTCATACTTGTAAACTTGTCGATGGGGTTGGTGTTTGTACGGTTTGTGCCAAAGTTTGCCACAAAGATCATGATGTTACCTTCTCGAAGTATGGTTCTTTCTTCTGTGATTGTGGTGCTAAACAAGATGGTTCTTGTTTAGCGTTAACCAAACGAACACCCAACATACATGAAAGTGAACAAACAACTTCCGCCTCATATCGTTTACCAGCCTATTCAAGTAGTCAAGATGGTAAGAGTAGTAATGGTCGTTCTTCTTCACGTCGTCGAACCTCTTCTCCGGACGGAGATTGTGGCCTAGGTGATGAATTAATTAAACGTCAAATATCCTCAGAAAATCAAGCTCGATACCAAGTATTAGCTCGTCAATTACAGTCTCGTAAAAAAGATTTACTCTCACTTCTAGCAAATCGTAATGTTGGCTCAACCATTTTAGAACTTCTAAATGTTACCGTTCCCTCGATAATTAAAAACTGTCAGGCCAATTCGTCCATTGGTTGTTCTATTCGAGCCAAAAAATCTTTGAAAGATCTTCATGAAAAACCCAAGTCAATTGATTTCACTGATCAACTAATGGTACCCACTTTGGGCTCTCAAGAAGGTGCCTTTGAAAATGTACGTCTAAGCTATTCAGGTGAACAAGGTCAGGCCATTCGTCAATTAATATCTACTAATGTAATACGCCGGGTAGCCATGTGTGCACTTGTTTCACCTTTTGGTAAACGTCAACATCTTGCCGTTAGTCATGAGAAGGGTAAAATTACTCTCCTCCAATTGTCCGCTCTTCTAAAACAAGCCGATTGTGCGAAGAAAAAGTTTACCCTTTCCCGTTTAGCCTCAGCACCCATACCATTTACAGTCCTTTCCATGGCCTCCAATCCTTGTAATGAAGATTTTCTCGCGGTTTGTGGTCTTAAGGATTGTCATGTGCTCACCTTTAATCCAAATGGCAATGTATCTGGTCATCTGCTCCTTCACCCATTACTGGAAGCAGGAAATTATCTAATCAAATCAATCTGGTTACCAGGAACCCAAACTGAATTAGCTATAATCACAATGGACTTTGTAAAAGTGTTTAATTTAAGTGTTGACGTTATTGCACCACAATTTTTCTTCCTCCTTCCATCGGGTAAAATTCGAGATGTAACCTTTGTGATAACCGATAATCAGCGTCACATTTTAATTATCTCTTCCGCGGGTCATATTTATTCACAAATTTTAAGCGATGAATCTTCCGCTCGTCATGGACCCTTTTATGTTACCAATGTGGTGGACGTTAAACACAATGATGTCCGTGAAACCTCTGGAGGTCAAATAAATTCTGGCGGTGTGTCAATCTATTATTCTCACATGTTACAACTTCTTTTCCTTAGTTATGCCAATGGTAAAAGTTTTGTTACCGCATTGACTGAGGTAACAACGGAAATAACTCGGCTCTTTGTTATCGAAACATCTAACCCCAACAACTCAACCAATGCAACCTCATCATCATCATCATCTGCCACTTCTGGTGGTGGTGGTGGTACCAATGGAGGTGAGGGACGTCGAGAAGGATCAAAAAGTACATCATCAACATCTCCAACCTCAACTCAAACTGGACCACAACCATTGTGCCAATGGTCTGAAATTCACGGTCATCCTGGTCTTGTCTGCGCTATCTGTCAACAATCAAACAATCCAATAGTATTCATGATTAAAACGGAAAATTTCATCATCCAAGAGATTCAATTTATCAGCATGAAATCAAAAATAACCGATATGGTTCCAGTGAGACATACAACATCTTCCGGTGAATTGAGAACCACCCTAATTTTATTATGTGAAGACGGAAGTCTTAGAATCTACATGGCCTCACCGGAAGCAACTAATTTCTGGTTACGTCCATCTCTCTGTTCAGCTTTAACTTATGGACCTGGTTTACCATCAATTTGCCTTAAATCATCTAAAAAGGGAAAATCAAGTAAACCCAATAAGCAACAATCATCTTCATCTGGAATCACAACGGGTCCGGGTGGAACTGTTAGCTTTCCAATTGACTTCTTTGAACATTGTACATTATTAACTGACATTGAATTTGGTGGTAATGATGTTCTTCACGTTTATAATGTTCAACAATTAAAAAATCGTCTCAATGCCACCGGTATGTACATAGCGTCAACTAAATTGGATGGTTTTACCATTGAGGTGACCAACAACGATCCCAATATGGTAATTTGTGGTGTACGATTATTTCTGGGCACTCAAGATATCATTAAGGTTCCCTCTTATATTGAAATTTTTGGAAGACCCATTCATGTTTATTTAACACGTAATCGTTGGTATGATTTTCCATTAACCCGTGAAGAATCCTTGTTAGCTGATAGAAAGTTGAGCATTTTCTTTGGAGTTTCTGGTGATTCTAATAACATCACCATGGTAGATTCAATAAAAGTCTATGGTAAAACTAAGGAGATTTTTGCATGGCCTGATGAAGAAGGAGAAAATTCTGGTTCTGGTACCAATACAACCGAATCAATAGTCACCAATGTTTCCGATTTTGATATAATGAGTTTAGCCTCACCTTATGCTACCTCGTTATCATCTTTGGATCGTTTACTCAGCTGTATGTTAGAAGTTCTAGATGGATCGTTTACCTTAGGAATTGTTGGAAACTCTTCTGAATCAAGACAAAATATTCACAAACAAGCCTTGGAGATTGTTACAAATCTTTTAACTTACCCATTTCCAGTTCCTGTTCACCAAAATATTAAATATCTTCTACTCACTTTACACCAAAACAAAATTTTCTTCAATAACCACCGAGATGCTGCAATTCTTAATTATGTGATAAAATCGCTTTCCGAAGCAAATAGAGCCGGTGAATTAGACGGTGAAGCTTTCTACCGTCTAATCATTTTGACCAAATCAATCGCCATATCAAGACCTGAAAATCTCATCAAATTTAGTGAGTGCCTAACCCTTGCTATAACTCAATCTGAGAATCAACAACAACGATCAACAGATGATCAGGATGAAGTGAATGATTTGAGTATAAGCAAAAGTTGCTCTGAACTTTTATCTCGAGCCAGGTCAATTGAAGGACCCAGTAAACCAAATCGACCCTCTCTTACCGGTGGACCACAAAGATCGGTTTCATTTGTAGAAAGTTCAATTAAAGAGGTTAAATCAGGTGACTCTTTTCTCATCTATCTAAGTGAAACCTTTTGGAAACTCTATGTGATGAGGCCTAAAAATCCTCTTTTAACATCTATCGCAGCCTCTGGACTTGTTCATGTCGAGGCTACGGTTCAAGTTCTTGTTGAAATAATTCTTGCCTTTACCTTGGTTGATGTAAGTAACATTGGTACAGCTTCTCAGCTTTTAATGAAATTGTTTCTCTGTAAAAATCCGGTAATAAGTTTTGGAGCTCGACAATCACTTATACGACTTTTAAGTCCAAAAGTTAGGAAACGAAAAGCACCAACAACCTCATCCACTGTTATCTCTGCATCGGCTTCGGCTACTTCAACAACCACACCAGGAGTATCAGGGGAACCTAAAACTTCAAACTCTGGTCAGGGCTCTAGTAGCTCTTATGCCATTGGTTCAAATGTAGGTGGAAGGTTACCCTCCATGCCCTCTGATCAACCCGCTAGTCTTGATAATATTGACCCTTTTTCTCAACATCTTATTCAACAGCAATTCGAGCTTATTGAAGAATTAGATCAAGTCGCCGCTTCTGGGCTTATGAGAGTGATTGATGCTCCACTACTTGAGTTTGCCGATGTTGACGATCACGATGATCCTATGGCTGAATTAGCGATTGTCTCAAGTCTTCAAGAACAAGCAGCCGCTGCTCGAAGTCTATCAGTTATTGAACAATCCGCCGCATCATCATCTGGTGGACAATCATCATCTCAGCGAGGTGGATCTCTGGAGGACAGGAGCCATTACTCTGATACTACCGCTTCAGCCGCTGGATCGGATGATGAAGGATCAACAGCAGCCACCGATGGTTCAACTTTACGTACAAGTCCAGTAGCAAATGAAGTGGAAAATGTAGCCGATGGTGGTGGATCTGAAAGTGGTGCAAGTGGAGTTGAATCTGTGATTGGTGAACATGGTGCCTCAGGGCGTAGTTCAACCTACGGTGACGATGCAAATACCAAAGGTCAACCTCGTGATTCAAACCAGGAGACAGGATCTGAAACTACAGAGTCTCAACCAGACTCAATGAATCATAAATTACACAATATAAGACTATATTTACTAGAGAAATTAGTTGGTAGTCTTTCAGAGATTCGAGGTATTGGAGGAATTCATTCAATTCCCATGATGCAGGTTATCGTGATGCTATCATCTGATCTTGATTGTTCCAACGAAAAAGATAAATCTGTTTTTGTTTCCCTTCTTAACGCTCTTATAACTGAGCTTCACCATGGTTGTCGTGATGTTAAAACACTTACCAAACGTACACCCGAAAATGAAGTTAAATTAATTATCATGCGTCTTTTGAGTATCTTAATGACTCAAATGAAATCATCATCTTCTAAGTCATCATTATCTCATGAACAAATGGAAGGCTCTAGTTCTGCTGTTGGTGGTTCATCTTCATTTGGATTGTGTTCTCTTCTTACTGCTCAATCACTTCTAAACTCAGAAACCCTTGAACTTTGCTTACAAACTCTTGTTAACCTTAAAGATTATTGGAAAAACGTTCAACCCGATCACGAAACATCATCTCGGAGTATAACTGGTTTTCTTCAACCAGGAACCGTGGGCACACCAACAACGACCACACCTTTAAAGCCTCGTAACATTACACCAGTTCAAGACATGTCACCTTTCTTTCTGAAACAATTTGTAAAAGGTCACGCTGATGACATTTTGCCACTTATCCACAATTGTTGACGGAAATGGTTCTAAAATTACCTTATCAAATTAAGAAAATATCAAATTGTTACCTTTCCTCTAAGCAGATTAACTTTCCACATGCATGGCTTGATGTTCTCTGTGAATATATGATGATTCAATTAGCACCAACTATTCGTAAACAGGTTCGAAAGTTGCTCAACTTTATTTGTGGTTCAAAGGAAAAATATCGACAAGTTCGAGATTTCCATGCCTTGGAATATCACTTCAATGAGATTAAAAAAGTTTGCCTTGAAGGAGGTTTCGTTGAATCAGCTGATCAAAGCAATACATCATCACCATCAACAATTTCAACGGCCAATCAAGGTGTCATCATTTCAATGACCTACGATTCAACGATAGTTTTAATTGAACATCTAAAGGCTTGCTGTGATATTGCTTCATCTCGAACATTGAATTGGCAAAAATTTTGTCGCAGTGCACCAGTGTTAACCTTTTTCATGCAAGTGAGCTTCCTACTCGATGAAGGTGTCTCACCGATTTTCCTTCAATTACTTCAATATGCTCTATGTCGACCCAGTCAACCTTTATCATCTTCCTCAACCTCTTCATCAATTAAACCTCCTGAAGGTGGTATTAAAGTTCCGGTTACAATACTTCAAGGTGGTTCATCTGTTTCCTCATCAACCACAGTTGTTACCACAACTGCCCCGACCGCTGGCCCTTCAACATCATTGACAACAACCAACAGCTTACCTGTCTTAGATACTTTGGACGCTGCTGCTCGTGAACAAGCCAATTTAGCTGCCTTACTTGCCCAACAATTTATCACCCAATTGGATAGGTCACTTTTAAATCAATTTATTCAATGTTTCCTCCTTGAATCTAATTCATCATCCCTCCGATTGCAAACTCACTCATTGATATTTAACATGTATAAAAATATCGATGATCCAGCTCAGCATAAAATCTTACTGGACATTCTTTGGTCACTTTGGGATAAGGTTCCCTGTTATGGACGAAAAGCTGGACAATTTGTTGATCTATTGGCCTTTTTCACTTTGCGTTCAAATGCACCCGAAGAGAAGGAAATTGAATTCCGAGATAAAGCATTAGCAGTTCTACGCCATCAGAACAAGTTACTTCTAAATCATCCAAATTCAGCAATTTACAATAGTTTACAAAATCTTGTTGAATTTGATGGTTATTATTTAGAATCTGAACCTTGTTTAGTTTGTAACAATCCTGAAGTGGGTTATTCCAACATGAAATTATCTTCAGTTAAGGTTGACTCTCGATTCACAACAACCACTCAAATTGTCAAACTTGTTGGAAGTCATACCATCTCTAAAATAGCTTTAAGAATCGCTGACATCAAACGGTCTAAAATGGTCAAAACATTAATAATCTATTACAATAATAGATCAGTTCATTCAGTGGTTGAATTGAAAAATCGCACTAATATTTGGCATAAAGCTAAAAAATGTCAACTAGCCTCAGGTCAAACTGATGTTAAAATTGAATTTCCTCTGCCAATTGTTGCCTGTAATCTAATGATTGAATATGCAGATTTCTATGAAAACATTCAAGCCTCATCGGAAACTCTTCAATGTCCCCGTTGTTCAGCATCGGTACCCGCTAATCCTGGAGTTTGCGGCAATTGTGGTGAAAATGTTTTCCAATGTCACAAATGTCGATCAATCAATTATGATGAAAAAGATCCTTTCCTGTGTAACTCTTGTGGTTTCAGTAAATACGCCAAGTTTGATTATACACTGACCGCTAAGCCCACATTTTCCGTTGATCCAATTGAAAATGAAGAAGACCGAAAGAAAACCGTTCAAACAATTAACACTCTTTTAGAGAAAGCAGATAGAGTGTATAAAGGATTAATTGCCAATAAACCAACCCTGGAATTGTTATTACTAAGAATTCAGGAACATGGATTCATGGATAAAATGTCCGATGAAGCTTTGGGTATTGTGCCTTCCGGTTCCGGTTATTCGGGTTCAACCGGCCCAATTAATGTTCCAGCAGCTAATTCATCAGGCCATGTTAACAGAGCCATTCAACAGGTTGCCCATAAATATTGTGTTGAGTGTAAAGGTTCATTTGACGAGCTAAGTAAAATTATACAAAAAGTTTTAGCCTCTCGAAAAGAGCTGGTCGATTATGATAATGTTCAACGTGACAGTATTACAACAAGAACGCCTTCAGTTAAAAGTTCATCAATCAGTGGTGGTAGTAAAGGAAGTGCAACTCGACGTGATTCAAAATTCATCGTTTCCCTTTCATCAGCTTCAGGTCGTTGTTATGGTTGTGCTTGTGCAGTAGTTGAACTTTGTATTACCCTTCTTAAAGCTCTTGGAACCCAATTAAAGTATCGACGATTACTTTGTTCAAGTGGACTTTTAAAACAATTAGTTGACTACAATTTACGAACCGGTGGATCATCTGTACGCCAAGAAGTCCGTCAACTATTGGTAACTCTTACACTGGATAATCCAGAAGCTACGGAACAACTTAATGATATGCTAATGTACAAAATTATCGCCTCTCTGGTGTCACCCGCTTCCATGAGACACGATTTAACTTCATCAATTCGCCATGAAATCGCTCTTCTAATCTGTTCCCTAGAAAGGGAAGACTCTTGTTGGGAAAAACGACTTCGATGTGTTCTCCGTCTTTTCCGTGTTGCCCTCTCTTACAATAGTCCATCGGTCCTCGAATCAATTACACTTCCGTGTTTAAAACTCTTAATTAACCTCATTAAACCAGACTCATTTATCTCTAAAAAGAATAAAGATAAATCGATTGAACAAATGGCCGGTGTAACGATTCGTGGTGCTCAAATAAGTATTGATCTGAATAAATGGTTAGCCGAAGATGTGGGACACAGTTTTGCTGGTTGGAAAAAGCGTTGTGCCAAAAAGGTTATCCCGTTACCTATTACAGGTTCTTTGGAAAAAGGTCTCAAATCGAAAGAGATTGTTAGAGCTCTTTATTTAATGGAAAAATATGGTAATCGATGGAAAGAAAAGACTCTCGATCGTAATCGTTTCAAGGTTTATTGTAAACTTGCTGAAAATAATTGGCTTCGTTCCGTTTTGTTTAACAAATTTTCACGAACCGTTCGTTTGATGGCCTGTTCACTAGTTGGAGCGTTATTCCAAACCCCTAGTCGCCGAAAAGAGCTGATTGATATTCTCACCTTGTATCTTGATGAAATTGGTGTAGCTCGAGAATATTCACAAGAATTTTTCACTCTCTATCATAATCTTATTCGTCAAGACCATTGGAAATATTATCTTTCTCTCAAAGGAGTCTTATTACATCTTGGCTCCCTAATAACAGAAGAGATTGAAAAACTTAACGAACTGGAAGAAACAACCTTGAATTCTGACCTTTCTGAAGGATGTGCCTTAAAAATGTTGGTTGATCTATTAACGGTGTTTGTTGATGTTCCCTCGATTCGTAAACAATACAAATCTCGTCTTGTGGCATTTATACTCAATGGTTATCTTTCATTGAGAAAATTGGTTGTTCAACGAACAAAAATCATCGATGAGACCCAAGACAATTTACTCGAATTACTTGAGGAAATGACAACCGGAACTGAAAGTGAAACTTCATCTTTCATGGCTGTTTGTGTTGAAGCAGTAAACAAATGTAAACTTGATGACTTGCGAACACCAGTGTTTATTTTTGAGCGACTTTGCTCCATCATTTACCCCGAGGAAAATGATACCTCCGAATTTTTCATCAACTTGGAAAAAGATCCGCAACATGAAGATTTCCTTCAAGGACGAATGCTTGGAAATCCCTATCCATCAACAGAACCTGGAATGGGTCCACTGATGAGAGACATTAAAAACAAAATTTGTCAAGACTGTGAACTAATCGCTCTACTCGAGGATGACTCGGGTATGGAATTGTTGGTTTGTAACAAGATTATCTCTCTCGATCTTCCCGTTGAAGAGGTTTACAAAAAGATTTGGCTTACCGAAAATAATGAAACCGAAGCAATGAGAGTAATTTACCGAATGCGAGGATTAATGGGAGATGCAACTGAAGAGTTTATTCAAACTCTCGACTCGAAGAACAATGAAAACGTTGACACCGAACAAGTTTTCAAAATGGCCAATGTCATGTCTGAATGTGGAGGTCTAGAGGTTCTATTACAACGTTTAGCTGTTATTCAAGATCTTTCAGCTCGAAGTCGACCTCTCCTTCTAGTTTTACTCAAACTGTTCGACTATTGTGTCAAGGTTCGGCAAAATCGACAATCTCTTATAAATCCATCTTTAAAAGCAATTAATGTTCTTTTGTCGACTCTCAAAATGGCGATAATTGCCGAATCTGGTGATTTCTCTTCCACCGTTAAACCAAATTTACTTGAGATGATTCTTGTTATCATGGAAAATATTCTGGTTGAAGCATCGAAACAATCACGTGAAGAGTATGATCGATTTTACCACGAAACTTGTGGTACTAAAGATGATGTCAAGTTTCTTCTAAACGCAGCCGAACATGAAAATGTCCGTCATAATACCAACGTGATGCACATTCTAATGAAAGTTACCCCATTGTTAACCCTTGGAGATAAGGAGAAAATGTTGACACTTTTAGATCATTTTAGGCCTCATCTTAATTTCAACAAATTTGACTTTGATCATACACCTGAGAACGATTTTAGAATTGATTGTTTCTGTGTAATGTTACAAGGAATCGAGAAAAATGAAAATGGAAATCGTTTGAAAGATTTTATTCTCAATGAAGATATTGTCTCAAATGCATTAGCTTATCTTAAAATTCATGCACCGGCGGTAAAATCAGCCCTTCTTGCAACTTCAGAGGAATGGAAAGAGTTCACTCAACGACCTGCACTCAAATATGTCCTAAGACTTTTAACTGGACTTTGTTCTGGTCATCCAAGTAGTCAAATGTTGGTGGCAGCAGAATCTATTCCGGTCATCCATGGACTGGAACAAGTTTCATCAGATTCTCATGTAGGCAGTTTAGCAGAAATGCTACTGGAAGCGTTAAAATATCAGAATTCGGTGGTGTCCGAAAAGATTGAACATGTTCGTAAACAGACCAAAGAAGAGAAAAAGAAACTCGCTATGGCGGTTCGACAGAAACAACTCGGTGAACTTGGTATGAAGGCCAATGAACGTGGACAAGTGATGGCCAAAAGTTCAATTCTCCGTCAAGTTGAAGATTTAGGTGAAGAGCAAGGTTTAAGTTGTATCATTTGTCGAGAAGGTTACAAGTTCCAACCTTCCAAAGTTCTTGGTATTTACACGTTTACCAAAGAATGTCCCATTGAACCTTTCGAACTTAAATCTCGTAAAACTTTGGGCTATTCATCTGTTACCCATTTCAATGTTGTCCACGTTGATTGTCACATGGCCGCGGTTAGACATGCTCGAGGTCGAGATGAGTGGGAATCTGCAGCGCTACAAAACGCATCAACCAAGTGTAATGGACTTTTACCTCTTTGGGGTCCCTCTGTTCAAGAATCTGCTTTTGCCTCTTGTCTTGCTCGTCACAACACTTACCTTCAAGAGTGTACCGGTCATCGTGACATCAGCTACCCTTGTACCATTCACGATCTAAAACTATTGTTACTCCGTTTCGCTGGGGAAGAATCATTTTCCCTTGATTCGGGTGGCGGTGGGCCACAATCAAACATCCACCTGATACCTTACATTATTCACATGGCTCTTTATGTTATCAATACTACTCGATGTGCTGCTCGTGAATCGAAAAAAATATCTGCCTCTTTTCTTGACCTTCCATCATCCAAATGGGTAGAAAACTCTTACGAATCTGATGGTCCCTTCTATTGGACAACACTTTCTCTGGTCATTCATCCACCCAGCTTTTGGAAAAAACACCGTTCAACCTTCCTTCGACGTTTACTCATCACAGCCCAAGCGCGACACATAACACCTAAAGGTGCAAATCATTTGGTTGACAATCGCCCACTCGACTATTCGGCTTATAAAACATCGCTTCTGTTTTTCGCACTCATTGATTCCATCTATTCCATCATGTTTAAATCGGTTTTACCAACTGCCGATGAAACTTCAGGCATTTCCTGTGAAACTTGGACACTTGCCTTAGCTGAATACATACGAAACAATGATCAATCACTACTCGAAAATGGTGATAAATTATTACGCTTCTATGAACAAGATCTACTTCCATGCCAATCATTTTACGAACTGATCGACGTACTTGCCCTTCATCATTTGGTGCCTGATCCAGATACTTATCTTGAATCATGTTTCCGGATACCTTTAAATTAGAAAGACAAAGACAAAAACAAACACACACACACACACATAAACTCAACAATTAGAAAAAAAATCAATTAACTAAATTTCATCGCTCTCGAATCTATTATTATTATTATTATTTATCATTCTCTTCACACCAGCGACGAGTAAACTTGTTGATAGTGTTTCTTTTTTACAAAATCAATTATTCAATTTAAAGGGAACAACAACAACAACAACAACAACAAATGAAATTAAAACAAAGACACGAAAAAAACTAAACAAAAACAATTTATGGATTAAGATTAAATCGAGAGAAAAATTGTTGAAGCGACAATAACAATTAAAATTTTCGTCAAACGCTAGAACTCATTGGATGAAATAATTCACTCGCTCTCGAAAATCTTACCACTTTTTGTCCTTCAATTTTCTGCTTCTCCACATCAACATCACCACCACCACCACCCTCACAATCACTTCCCTCCTCCTCTTTCTTACATTTCCATTCAGCAGAAACATAAACATACACATTAACTCATCACCGCATCAATTTACCACCTTCATCACCACCAACTTTCACCTTCACCATAAACACATAACACAAACACATACACACACACAAACATATGAAAACAACAATTAAGAATATGTAATGTGGTTTAAAAAAAAACAATTGATTAATTACAAAACTAAAAAAGAAACTAATTTCATCTGTGAGATGTATTATTGAAAATTAATTGGATAGATTGATGAAAATAAAAGTCTATCAAAAAAAAACAATATGATACAATTAACTCTAATTGCTTTGTCCAAAATTTAATATTCATTATGAGAAATCAATTGAGAAATTAAAAATTTTGTATATATAAAAATAATTAATTGTTAATCAATGCGAAGGAGAGAAAGATAAATACAAAGATATTTAGAGGAATGGAAAACAATTAAGGAATCAACGACAAGAAGGTAAATTAAAAAAAAAAGGAATTAAAAGCAAATACATAATCACAATCGCAATAAAATCGGATCCAGTTAATTAATTTGGCCCTGGGGATAAATTGTAATAGTTTACAAATGAACAACAACAATTAAAGGTTTTCCCTTTAATTTGATTTCTAATCTATTTTCTCACTCTCGGTTGGTTAATTATTCACCGAGAGAGAGAAATGAATTTATCATGTTTATGAGTTCGGATGATTAGTGAAGCATGATAATGATTATGACCTTATATCTTCCGTCGGTGGCACCGGTAAAAGTGGATTTCGAGGGAGAGGGGAGGGTGAGAATAGAACTTTTTTTTCTCTCCTTTTTCTTTTTTCAGGGTTGTTCAAATTATCTTTCACTGGACAAACTTGAATGACCCGAAACCGGAAAAAGTATTTTTCTTGATGTTCGAGTAATTTCCGTTGTCACTAATTCTTTAAAGTAGATTAATTGTTTCTCCTTCTCCTTTAATTGTTGTTCGGTTGATATGTTTACATATTTAATTGTCTTTGTCTGTTGGATATTATTTATGGGATCAGACACATTTTGATGGTCACTTTTTTTGTAATTTTGAGATTTTTTTATTGTTGTTGTTGATGTTTTGGTTAATTAGGTGGTAATCGGTTGATTTACTTTTTTCTTAATCCAAGATTACCTAATCCAAGACCTCCTAGATTACCTAAACCGGCACCTTGTTGACCACCACCAAGACCTTGTCCTAATCCTTGTCCGCCACCAAGACCTTGTCCACCTCCTAAACCACCAAGACCACCAAGTCCTCCCAAACCTTGGTTACCTCCTTGTCCACCACCTAATCCTTGGCTACCAAGAGCAGCAAGATTACCTAATCCACCTAAACCTTGACCACCACCAAGACCACCGGCACCTCCTCGTTGACCTAATCCTCCGAGACCCAAAAGATTACCAATACCTCCAAGAGCATTTCCTAAAGCACCTAACCCTTGTTGTCCACCTAATCCTCCAAGACCACCTTGTTGTTGTCCACCTAAGCCTCGTTGACCACCACCAAGACCAGCAAGACCACCTAAACCTTGACCAAGTCCTCCTAATCCACCAAGACCTCCTTGCTGTCCACCATAACCTTGTTGACCACCGTAACCTTGATTACCTCCTAAACCACCAAGTCCAAGACCTCCTAGATTACCAAGTCCACCAAGACCTCCCTGTCCACCTTGACCACCTTGTCCACCTAAACCACCAAGACCTCCTAGTCCTTGTCCACCAAGTCCACCAAGTCCTTGTCCACCTTGGTTACTTTGACCAAGTTCACCAAATCCTTGACCATCTTGACCAAGTTCACTAAGACCTCCCTGTCCACCCTGATCTAATCCACCGATTCCAGAAAGACCATCATCAAAATCCTCTTGAGTGTAAACCAATTGCACAGTTAAAGTAAAACAGACTAACAAACAAAACACTTTAGAAACCATTTTGAAAACTAAGTTAACAATTAACAATTAAAATCCGTTGAAAGAAAAGGTAAAAATGTAATAGTAATAAATCACTGGTATTTAAAGTTGAATTTATAGTTGAATTTGTTGTTCAATTGATTGTTCACTGTTCGAGTGTTGATTGTTGACTGTTGAATAATCTATTAACTATACCGGTATTTATATATGAGTGACAAACGGATTAGTCGCTAATTGTTGATGCCCTTGTAACGAAAGCTTAATTGTTACACTGAGTGAGTTAAGTTTCACTTTCGATTTTTGGTTTTTTTCTGTCTTTCACTTTGTCTTACAATCTTTTCCCATCCCTAACCAAATTTTAGGGCTATTTAGTTTTCTAAGGTGGAGTCAATTACTTAATTGTAACAATTAACTACAATTTGTAAACAAAAATAAGCGAGTTGCAATCAAGCTGAGACAATGAATGATGAAACATTTCCACACTCAAATAATCAACAAAGAAAAAGAATCAAAATTAAACTTACTCACAATTAACTAATTCGCTCATTCTAATTGTTGCAAATAATTTACTGAGACAAAGATTTCAGGATTAAATTCAGGATTATAGTTGCAGCAGAATCTTATTGACCAGTGGTCACTCATTACCCGTTTTCTTCGGGTCCTAACAAGGTAAATGCGTCAATTTGACCTGAGCTGAGATTCTAGAAAATTGTCCATAATTAGGTCGAGATTATCTTCTTAGCTTTTTGGTCTCGGTCTTTGTTAGTCAAGATTCCTACGAGCAATTTACTAATTGTTGACCAAATCAGAGTTGCGATTGAAAGTTAGTTAATCAACGCTTCGTTTTTAATCATCCAATGCAAAACTCTGGACAATTAGACTGTTGATTATCTGATATTTCCAATGGTTTTCCAATTTTGTCTTCACTCTAATATTTTCTGATTAGTAAATTGTTTCGTTTGTTAGTTAATCTTGATCTTGAATTAATTAAAATCAATTCTTACGATAACAATAATATCCTTTTATCTTGAGAAAGAAAAAAATTTAAAGGTAAAAACAATTATGGTTAATATAATCATGAGAATTAACTAATTGTTATTCCGCTTCCTTTCTCATACTAACTACTAATTCGGTTGATTATTGTTACGTTAAATTTAGTTACACGAATTTGGGTAGCAAATAATTAACTTTTTACTCTCTTTTCTCTCTTTCTTTTTATGCCAACAATTTAAACTAAATCTTAAATCACAGTTAATCATTGTTCAAATTACCGTGTCTCCGTTTTAATCCTAATCTGATAAATCATTTGGTTAAAAGGGATTTTCCGTGACCCAACAATTTAATCAACAATTTACAAGGGAATGACCTCAAATAATTTAGTTAACTGTTACAATTTGATAATAATCAGTCTGATCACTTATGAACAATATAACTGAATTAAGAGTGTTCAATTTAGCATAATAATCAATTGTTTCAACTTTTTAAATCTTGATACAATTTGATTTGAATCACCAACGAAATTATCGTTGACGATATCGGGTAAAATGATTAGTTGATTGTTACAGTTAAGTTTGTTTATTATTTATTTTTATTGTTTTGTTTATATTATTTATTAATATCATTTAGCTGATTGATTATTTTATTAATTTCATCTCTTGAATTTATTTGCTAATCAATTTTGTTAGTTGATCACAGATTTTTACTAATCGTTGATTAATGTTGGTTAAATTGTTTCAACGTTGGGTTTCCGGTTAATCATGATAGGAAATCTTTAATTGTCAATGATTTAGAGGGAAATTTCAAAACAATTTCTTTGTCCGGATTATGTCCGGAACCTAAAAGGTTAACTTGGCCTGAGGCTACCGGATATTATGATTATCCTAAATCCTGATTAACAATTAAGTAAAACAATAATGATAATCGACAAGTTTTTGAGTAACAATTAGTTTTCTGGGTCAAATCTTTGAACCAATGGGAAACCATTGAAGGTTAAACAATTTAACTATTTAATTGTTGTTTCATTATATAAAAAGGTTACTATTCCTATTCTAGAGATGAAACTTGAAAAGGAAATTAAGAAATGATTACAATTAGATAAACAAGTAATCAATCAATTGGAAATTAAAATTAAACCTCTTTGCCGAATCAGTGGATTAGAAACTTAAAGAGATAAACATTTCAATGAATTATCGGAAATTTATTGTTGATCAAGAAGTTAACTGATATTCAATAGATTAATAAGAAATAACCTTTAACTATGAACAATTGAATTTAATTGCTTTCCAATTGTCGATGATAAAAATTGGGGGGATATGTGATAATCGTAATGAGTAAGAAATTAATGATGAAAGTGAATCTGATTGATAAACTCCAATCTCGATTCTGAATCTGTTGTTGGAAATGAATCTTCTTTAAGGTAGAGATGATTGAATTTAATTCTGATTGCAATTGATTAAGTTTCCACTCGATTTCAGTTTAAATTTGAGGCTTTCGATCAGTTATCAATCGGTTATGTGGTCTCTCCCAAGTACTTTGTACATTCACCATTGAACAATGTCCAATGGTCCGAAAGCACTGGAATAACTGGCCACCTTATAGAATTGCATATTGTAGCTTTTCAATTTTGAGAAAAAAATTTTAATTTGCCAATCAAGCCGAAAATGAGCTCGTTCTTGGCATTAGCCAAAGTCCAAGAATTTAACTTTTCGGTCAAAATGTAGTCTTTTTAGTTACTTTTCTAGTCCGAAGATGTCACTACTTTCGTTTCGTCGAAAGCTGATTCATCATATGTTGGAAAAAGTATTTTTGTTTTGATTTTGTCTCTTTTGTTTAATTTAGAGTGAATTAAATTAAATTTGATTTAGTTTTGAGATCTTGATTCAGATTAATTGACTGTTTTTTTTAATTGATTCTTTATTTGTTTAAATGTTTCTGAGAAAATGTTGATTCATTTTCTTTCCCTTTTCTTTATCGGTCCGCTTATTTTACTCTGGACTTTGATACGTGTCTATTTATCGGTTAAACGAAATGTTTCCAGCGGTAAATCGGTACCGATAGTGGCCTTTTTTCACCCATATTGTAATGCAGGAGGAGGTGGTGAACGTGTCCTATGGGTTATGTTGAAACTGTTGACAACCAGATATCCAAAGTATCGATATGTCATTTATACCGGTGACCAGAATGTTGAGGGTAGCGTAATATTGTCCAAGGTTTTAACTACTTTTCGAATTGATTTAAGTCAAAATGTGACCTTTGTCTATCTTAAAAGTCGATTCTTGGTGGAAGCTGAAAGATATCCTGCGTTTACTCTGTTATTCCAAAGTTTGGCCTCGATCATTTTAGGATTTGAAGCTTTGTTCAAATTTCCACCCGATGTTTTCATTGACACAATGGGCTATTCGTTTACTTATCCGTTATTCAAGTATTTTGGTGGCTGTAAGGTTGCCACTTATACTCACTTTCCGACAATCAGTGTTGACATGTTGGCCAATGTCTCATCTAGACGAGAAGCGGTCAACAATCGTAATTTTATCGCTTCAAGTGCCATCCTTTCAAGAGGGAAACTGTTATATTATCAAGCATTTGCCATTCTCTATGGTTTTATGGGTCGAAGAGCTGATTTGGTTATGGTCAATTCAAGTTGGACTCGTAATCATATCTCATCTTTATGGGGCAATCAAAACATTCACCTGGTTTATCCTCCATGTAACACTGAGGTTTTCCAAGAGTTACCCGTTGATGATAAACAAGAATATCAAATCGTATCAATATCACAATTTAGACCAGAAAAAGATCACATCAAACAAATTCACAGTTTCTCTAAGTTTGTAGAAAAGTAATTAGAAATTGTCTAAATTTTAATGATTTTGATTACTGATTAATTTCCTATTTTTCTCAATCATATTCACAGGTTGGAACCAAATGAATCCTCAAAGGCTAAATTGATCCTTATAGGAAGTTGTCGGGATGAACGAGATGAAGATCAAGTTGAAAAATTACGTGAAATCTGCAAATCATTTAATGTAGAAGACAAAGTAAAGAAAAAAAATTAAGATTCTCATCTTTTTTTCCTAACAATTAATGACCAATTTAACTTGTTTTCTTATTCTGCAATTTAAAGGTTACATTTGCATTGAATTTAACATTTGATCAACTATTGGAATATCTGAGAACGAGTAACATTGGCATTCACACAATGAAAGAGGAACATTTTGGAATCGGAGTCGTCGAGCTTGTGGCCGCTGGATTAATCGTAGTGGCACACAATTCGGGTGGACCAAAGATGGACATCATCAAATCGAGGGACATTGGTTTTCTAGCCGAGACATCAGATGAATATGCTGATTGTTTACTTGAAATTGTTCGTAGTAAACAATCAAAATTGTCAAACATACGAAAAACTGCTCGTAAACATGTCGAAAAATTTAGTGAAGACAAATTCTGTTCTCAAGTAGCTGATATATTTGACTCGATTCTATCCCGTTGATCTGACAATCAACTAACTGAAACCTTGTGATGAATAACTAATCAACTGTTAAATTAACAGTGTTAATAATTAATTAATCCCATCGACTTTTACCTTATATATATAAAAATTATTTTCTCAATAATGTAAATGATTAATTAAATTACGATAAAGGAAACATCAATTATAACCTTTACAATTAGGTTATAATGAGATTTCCCATCTCTAAGAAATTATCATTAAGATGAAACGGAAATTATTGATAAGAGGAATTAGTTAATTCCTCATGATAACATTGATGATGGAACATTTGAACAAATTGAATATTCTCTTTCTCTCTCTCTCTCCCAAGTCGAAACACGATTATATTGAATGGCAAGAGAGAATTTAACAGGTAAGTTCGACAGGTAAATCGAAAAAGAAGAAAAAAAGACGAACCCAAGATGGCGCATTTACCATACAAAGAGAAGAAAAAACTTTAATCTTTTCGTTGTTTCGAAAATTTGTCTTCTTTCTATTTCCTAAAGGCCAGAATTCTAATTCTTATTTTCTTGTTCTCTCTCTCTTTCTCTCTCAGGTATATACACATGTATGTATACACTTCGAATTTGATATAACCGAGCAACTCGAATATCAAAAGCAAAGATGAAGGAAAAGGAGGAAAAAGACGAAGGAGGTGAAAGATGAGAAGGAGCAAGAGAAAACTGAATCATCAGAAACTCACAGAGAGAGAAACATAAAAGTATAAGATTTTTTTGTTGTTCGAAAAAAACAAACTTGTCTTCCCTCGGTTTCTTTTTTTATACTTAATCAGTTCTATCAACAGTTTTTACCTTGATAATCTGGACCACAATCATCCTCATCCTCATCCTCCTCATCATCATCATCAAAATCTTCACATTAATTAGGCAACATATCAACAAATCCAAAGACGAACATCAATATCTCTCATCTGATTGATAATCTTACCGGTTAAAAATTCGTATCCAAGTAACACTGTTTATCTTCAGCCTCTGCCCTCAGTTATCGTCATTATCATCAACGTCATCATCACTACCGTTACCCACCGAGGGAGAGAGTGTGTGTGAGAGAGAGAGCGAGAGAGTGAGAGAGGTAAAAGAGATCAAAAGAAAACTAAATAAAACAAAGTTAACGAGAAGAAGATAAATAAACAACAACAAATATCCAGTTCGAAGGAGACAAGAAGATAAACAAAGATAAAGTTAAAGAGATGATGAAGACGATGAAGAAGATAAAGTTGAACTAATGTTTAAAAAAAGGATGGTGATGATGATGATGAAGGAAAAGATGATAAAAGTGATGATAAATTTGATAGAAAAGAAAAAGTGAAAATGAAAAAAGTGATAATGAAAAAAAGAGAGAAAGAAAATCTTTTCCAACATTTATCTTCACCTATTTAACCTCAAGATAACTAAAACTTTTTAAAATCGTTTCTTCAATTACCTTTGACGTTCTGTCATCAATTTCTCTTCTCATTTCATCATCATCATCATCATCATCGTCATAATCTTCAACGTTACTTTTTCCTCTTCCTCATGTCATCATTGTTAAAATACACTGAATGTTATTTTCCAATCGCACCACAGAAAAAGGGAAAGTAAAAAAATCCACCGTCAACCCAAACGTATCTACGTCGTAACATCATCATCATCATCATCATCACCTCCACCTCCAATCTACCTTTGTTTGTTTACCTGTAAATCTCCCTCTTTCTCTCTCCTCTGTCTATTTTTCTTCAAATTCAGTGTCTTCTTTTTCACTTTCGCTGTATTTACAAACCTCTTGCAGCGATTTAAATCTAAACCCACACTAATCCAATATCTTATATTATCTATTCATGGAAATAAATTGTTCTTGTCTTATAAATCAATCCGATAAGTGTAACAATCAACCAACAATTTAACATTTTGTGTCTTCTTTTAATATAATTCCAATCGTTGGATCTCTCTCTTTCTCACTCACTCACTCGCTCGCTCACTCTTTAATTGTTTATTATTATCATCATCATAGTTATCTAATTGTTATTATATATCAAAATGTTCATCATGTTCATAGTCTTAATTGTGTTGGTACGATAATAGTAAACAAGAATCAATAATGGAACCATATTAATCTATTATCGGCCTTAAAGTGTAACAATTTAAGTATATAAATAATTAATTAATTGTGTCTCTCAATGAGTTTGTGATTATCAACCATGTTGATTAACCCAAAATTAAACAGCATAAATCATATCCATTGATAAGTAAATCATTTATCCGATTGAAATATCATAATAATAATCAACATTTCAAGTAAATTAATCAAATCAAGGACTTTAAATTATAATCAAGGAAACAATTTAACCAACGATAAGTGAGTGAGTGAGTGAGAGAGACCAACAATCAACTAATCAACAAGAAACAATTTAAAGAAATGGGAAACAACTCTAGTCAATCTTCAAGGGTAAGTAATTAACCTAATTGTTGTTATTGTTTATTTTTTTCTCTCTCTCTCTCTCCATGTTAATTAACTCAACTGAATAATCAATGAAAAAATTTTTCTCAATCACAATTAACCAACTAAATCATCAACAATTTATCCTCCTATCCGGTAATCGGTTGGTAACTTATTAGTAATTATCATCAATCCCTAAAGCGAGAGCAACAATTTAAAACAATTACCTAAATTTCATCATCACTGATTGTTACTAATATTTAACAAGAAAACAATTAAGTTTAATTGTTTGACCCTAATCACAATTGATGACAACATGGAACTGGAAATTTAATCAATTTTTTACAAGTTAATTATTAATATTATAACATAGATATACTTTTAATCACAATCAAGTATTTTATATTAATGATGATGATTAAAAATTAATCATTAACCATCATAACAAACATACAGAAATTAATTAATTAGTTAATAATAATAATGATTACAAATACAAATGATTGTTATAGTTGAACAATTAAGAAATTGAATTGACAAAAGCAACAAGTTGATTAACTTTATTCAATCAATTGGAAAAAGTTAATCATTTCAATTAAATATTGATCATTTTGATTGTGACACAGTACAATTAACATGATCATCTTAATGATTATCATTATTAAAATGACAAATAACGATAATAATATTATTGATAATTAATTGTAATTGTTGTTTATTAACGATAATTATATTTGATTAACTAGAGACTCGTAAAGTTATATTAATATAATAATAACTTTCAATTGAATGTCGCCTTTAATTGTTTATACATTTATTAATTATTCACAATTAAAACATAAACTACTCCTGTTAACTTGTTAATTTAGATAATTGCTCATAGTAAAATGAACTGAATTAACTAAATTGTGATGATTATTAACGAAAAGAGAGGAAACAACAAATAATCATCATAATAGAAAATGAATTTTTTTTTTCTTATTCTTTTTCCAAGTGTTGATGTAACACTCTCATCTCTATGTAAATTAATATCTTCTCATGTCATCTTAAGACGAAGATGATGATGAGGAAGATGAAGATGCTGATGATAAAGATGAGGAAGAGACAAAAGGGTGGGGTAAGGATGGAAAAAGAAAACCTCAATTAAATAGAATATGAGTTTTATTTTGGAAATTAATTTTTCTAATTATCTCAGAATCGTTTTTCCTTCCAGTTCCTATGTAAACTCATGTCTTTTTTTTGTATATTAATACTATTAAGACACTTTCCTTATTATCTTATAACCTTTTTTCTTGTATAAAACATCCTCATCTTCATCCTCATCATCATGCTTATCATCATCATCATCAGAATCTTCAGAATGTGTAAAGATAATAATAACATCCAATGTAAATGTTTACTTATTATTTTTCCATTGAAATTTATTCTTAGAGATTTTCTTTCTCATAACATTTTAATGAACATGATAATGATGATGATGAAAATTCAGGTGAAGATGATGATGATAATGACGATGAGGATGATGATGATGATGATGATGAGTGTATAGTTGATTGAAATTTCATCGTAATTCAATCTGAAAAACTACTCATGTAATAACATGGGAGCTCAACTTTTACACAATGTTAATTTTATCATTTACTTTTTGGTTTATTTTTCTCATTCAATCAGTTGACAAAATTAGATTTGATTATCAACCAGCAATTAAATACTTACCAACGATTTTATTATTATATATATGTAATCGTTTATTTTAATTGTTCCATGTTAATTAGTTTAATTCAAGGCAAGAAAAAGCTTAATTGTTTATTTTTATTGTTACTCTTGCTTTTGTCTCTTATCAATCCATTGAACTGGATCAGTTAATTGTTATTGTTGTTCAAACAATTACATGTTAATTGTTTTCTTACATGAGATTTCATCTAATGGTTAATTTAAATTATCTGATCACTTAATCATAATGATAATTATTAATGATAATTGTTGTTGATTAACCTTTTTGTTATTCTTGTTCAATATATAAATTACATCAACTTGTGAAAACTTTTTTCCTCTTATTGTTATTAATCCAGCAATTAGTTTGATTGTTGATTAACTAACCACTCATGGTGATGATCAGGGTAAGACTTTGTGTTGTGATGATTTATTAATTGTTAGGTAAGGCCAGCATGATGATAATAATCAAATTCAATTACGAGAAACAAATATATCTAATTGTTGTTGTTTATGATTAACTAGCAAAAAAAAATGAGGGTATTCACAACAATTTAATATTAATTGATACAAACTATCACAATAATGATAAACACAAATGATAAACACAAATGATTTGTTGATGATTAACTTGATTCATTTGGATTACGATGATAAATTAGTTGATTAACTTTAGTAAAAAGTGATTAATCTTGATCACAATTTACCTGGAAAAATTGATTATGAAAAAAAAGCAAAACAAACAACCAAGTAAACTTATAATCTATTGATTTTGATTAAGTCAAACAATTTATTGATTGGAAATGCAATTAGGATTAACTGACCATTGATTATGAGTCACTGATTGTGAGTATTTTTTTATTATTCAAGTTTGACCATCAGTAAGTAGCAAAACAAAAACAGAGTGTAAATTAATCAACTCAATTGATTGTCTGGTGGATTAATTTTCATCATTAATCCTCATCCTGTATCTTAATCCTTTTTGATAATAATCATTTAATGATTAATTAAATTGTTATTATTAGGATATTTGGATAATAATTAAGGTAAAGATAAATGTGTCAGAAACTGTTGTTGTTATTTCATCATTTCCTTGCTTATTGTATCCTTTTTTTTTTAGCCTCAGGGGATAAGCTTTCTAAGGATTAGATTGAGTTGTTATCATTGGAGAGAAATATGTAAGAGGAAAAAAAGATGAAAGGAAAGAAGATTATCTTTATCATTAATTAGATGATAAATGTTACATCAATTTGTCATTTCTAATCTTCATCTTTCTCTCTCATCGAGTTCTAATAAGTTCTAATTTTATTCGATTCAAAGATTGTTTTGTTTTCTTTTTCTATTCTCTCTAAATATTCCAATGCTCTAATTGTTATCGTTTTCTGTATATTGACCATTAAGCTGAAATTCTGAATAAATTTCCACCATCATGACTGGTTGATTATTTAGATAATCATGATGATGATATTTAGACAAATGAGGAAGGTGATAAGAGAGAGAGAGAGAAAGGATTTGCAATTTGTCCTCTCTCTCTCCTTCGAGATAATAACAATAAACATGGAAGGAAAATCTCCTCTTGATTGAGAATCAGAATTCTGAGTAATTCGATAGAAAAAAAAGAAAGTTTTCTCTCCCATAAATTACCTTTAATCATCAATTCTTCGTGACTTAATGAACAATTATCGTTCATTTATGTATCATTTATATATCATGAACTTCCACCCACCAGCATACACCCACTTTCCAACTCTACCAATGTAAAAATTTATAAATTATTACAGAAACTGAGCAGTGGAACTGTAAACTTGAAAAAATAACATGAATAATTTTCATGAATTGGATGAGGAAAAAAAATATAACCACCAGAGACTTAATCATATGATTAACAAATGAACTCGTATACTGACCTCTTGTCAAGTTAGACAGATATATAATCTTGACCACTCTAAACTAATCATCATCATCATTAGATTACATATTTAGTATGTTTTTATTGGCGTGATAATGTTTACCATTTGAAAGACAGAAAAAAAAGTTCTGACAATTCTGAAAAAAAGACAATAACAAATCATTGAAACGTTTTATATTTGGGTTGTTTTTTTTATCATGATGATGATGATGATGATTATCATGATGATTGTACAGCAATAGTATTGCAATGGAAATTGGGAGTAGAGTGGAAAGAGAGAGAGAGAGAGTGAAAATATCGATTGGTTTTCCATGTGTAACATTAGATTCTGTTCTGTGTTGTGAGTGTCATGGCAAAAAGAAACAAGTTCATGAGGAATCATTTTCATGATGATAATCATCATGGTTCCCTGAATTTACCTTCATTTATCTGCTTTTATTTTATTCTTTCTCTTCCATCAGCACCACCATGATGATGTTGATAATGATTTCGCCTCAAGAATAGGAAATGACAATTTTAATCTAGAAAAGAATAACAATTTTTCATTCTACTTCTTTGCTTACAAATTCTGACCGAAATTTTCTTCTTCTTTTTACTTATATATTCCAAATTCTCAATTCCAATGAAAGAAAATGAGAATTTCTCTTTTCTCTACCGTTGAAGTTATTCTTATGGTGGTGAATATAAACTTTCACTATTATGTCTCGGCGGGAAAAAAGATGCATTTAACTTACTCCACGTTCAGACCCAAGAACATTTCATTTTAATAATATCGTTTAACTTGATGATCATGTTTATATAAATGAATTGATGTGAACTTTTCTGTCTCTCCCATGGAAAAGTAAAATAAACTAAATGATATTATTTCTGGTCAGTTTGGTTCCGGTTCCTTTTCAAGTGACATAATTATTTTCACTTTTACCAGAAAAAAAGAGACCAACATAATAATATTGACCAAGTAGCTGAAAAGAGAGGAGGATAAGCTTGAATTCCCATGATCCATAATGAAAAATTGTCCTTTTCCTTTTCCGGATTGATAGGAATTCATTTCTCGATTCCTAATGTTTATCATTTTCAACTTTCTTCACAATTCACCACATATAATATATAATTTAACCATTAGAACACAGAATCGATAAAGGATAAAATAATGCTCATTTTCATTAGAATCAGTTGATTGGTCATTCCAAAGGGTCATCTATGAATTAAGGTCATCACCATGTTATATATAAACACATAGTGATTGATTGTTTGGTTAACTCATTTAATTAATTAATTCTCATCTAATATATTTCCTCACCATCTCTCAATAATTAATCACCTTTTTTTCTCAGTTCTCCCTGAGTTAATTAATGACTTTAATTGTCACCTAATTGAGTTACAATTG